ACGAAAAGACTAAAAGAAATGGGATGAACTAAAGTTTCATATTCTATAATATTGAATGGGCGCGGTTGATATTTTCTATTTCCAGAAAGCAAACTTATTCAAAGTATTTGTTGCAAAGGCATGCGGGCGCTGTAGACGTGTCCTTTGACCGGGCTATAACCCCTTATTTTTTACGAACAATGCAGTATTTACCATTATTGGGCACTGGTAAATAAAATTAAACTTTGACACACTACAAGGCGTGTGGTAGGTGTAATAAATTTCTTTTATTTTTGTACAGATACTATATAGCACTGCCCATACAATATACATAATATATATATATTTTTATATATATTTTTTATTCGTTCTAAAAAACCGAGATGTTTTTTATTTACGTGCTATTCTGAACGTGTCCGTCCATTGATATGGCCAATCTTCAATATCAAAGACTCTAACGTTTCTGCCAAATTTGAAGGCGATAGCTTCTTTCTGGCGACCGGAAGAAGGTATACAACAGACATTACATAGGCGAAAAGATGGACAGCAAGACATAACTCGATTCAGAATTTGATGCTGATCAATAATATATAAATTTTATGGGTTACCTGAAGCTTACTACTGGACGTTGCAAACGTTTTAGCAAAGTTAATATGCCACCCAAATCCTTCGAAGATTTGCATAAAAAAATATCAACGGTTCGCTTTGCCTTCATCATGACCATGATATCAGATATTATATCGCGTTTATTTCATTTGACTACTTGTCACTATCCCTTAGCATTTTCCTGTGAATTGAAGGGGAGAAATAATGCTATCCACAATGCACATATATATATTGTATAATATATACATATATATATGTCATATCTTAACTACTTTTTACTCTATGTCTTTACTAATGCATAGAATTGCGGAACTACATCCGTAAAAATTGATGGTTTTAAAGATTTTAATCTGTTGAGAAGGATGTTTGATGCGGAGTTGCGCTGCTTGAAAAAAGCTACAAAGTCATTTAACTTGCATTAGTATTGTACGGGCTGAATACTCGTTTAATGATGATCGATTGTCGTGTGCCGTGTACTTAGACGATAATTATTCATTTATGAAAAAATTAAATGAAACATAAGACAACGGATTATTTATACATAACCAACTAACTAACTAACTAACTGACTAACTGACTGACTGACTGACTGACTGACTGACTGACTGACTAACTAACTAAATAACTGAATCGTAAAATTATTAATATTATGAATTGAAAAATTTGTTAAAGGAAAAAAAGAAAAATAAATTAATATAAATTTGATCTTTGCACCCAAAACAAAACAAAGCTGGACTCCTCGCACACACACACGCCGATCGCATAGACACGTTTTCGTGTATTTCCTCGTAATATGATCATAAGCAACTTCTTCGCACGTACGAACATAGGCCAGGCGCACACAAACACATACGTACACACATATATATGCAATATTAAAGGGAGAGAATTTCCTAGCAAAAGCTGTGAATGTAGCGTTGTCATCATCATTTGTTTAAAACGTTATCTATACATATGCAGGCATATGTATGTCGGGTGTTTACATACAAAAAAAAAAAATTATATATGTATACATATTATATATATATACATATATATATATATATATATATATGTGCAATATGTGTTATGTATGTAACTAAAAAACAATACTTTTTATTTACGTACACATAAATGTATGCAATTTGAGTATATATATATATTAATATACGACGAAACTGACCCTCTTAAATTATTTAATTGACACTAATTTAAAAAAGAAAAAAAACAACAAATGAAAACAACAACTACAATAAAAAGGAGAAGCTACTCAATAACGAAGTATGCACACATATGCGTATTTATATATATATATATATATATATAACGTAACCCAAATGTGTATTCGCACCAATTTAACCCAACCAAACCAATCAAGCCGTTACGCTACAAATAAAGTCAATATTCTTGTCTTTATAAAAATAAATAAATATATATATATATATATATATATATATATATTCATTTTTGTTCACTAATCTATGTACGAGTTGTATATATACACACAAAAAGCATAAAATTCATGAAGTGTGCATTATTTACTCAATAATTTTTTTTACATTTTATTAGTAAGATATTTATGGTTGTTTTAGTTTCATTTCCTCGGAAGATGATGCCTTCACTCTTAACCCGATCGGTGACCGGTAAAGAATAAAGTGGCAGTGAAATTATTTTATATATATATATGTATATAGTAAATATATGTATAAAATAAATATTTATAAAAATAAAAAAAAAAAAAAAAAAAAAATATTTCTTCAATTTACAAGAAAACAGTAAAAAAATTAAAATAAAAAAAAAAACTAATAAAAATTTAAAAAAAAAAAAAAAAACTTCATATTTAATCACAAAAAAATAAATTAAAAATAGGGAATAAATAAATAACTAAATTAAAAAAAAAAGCTTTATAAAACTTTCACAAAAAAAAAAGAAAAAAAAAACTTCACATTAATCACAAAAATATATATTAAAAGTAGGGAATAGATAATAAAATAAAAAAAAAAAAACAAAAACTTTTATAACACTTGGCGGTAAATGCAAAATTGCAAGTGCAATTTAAAGGTGAATATGAAAATCTTTTCTAAGGCTTTTCACGAATCTGCTTTATTACGCCAATAACGGACCGCATTTAAAAAATAGTAAGGTAAGATTTAGTTCGAATTCTGCCCGACTAGAATAAACCCACTATTAAATGCCCTATCACAAAATTGCTTAATTGCTTGCACCTGCTCCTCATATAATGACTTTTCAAAATGCCTATATATATATATATGCTATATATTATAAGGGAGATCGAACACTTGTGATACGGTCCGGACCAACACTCAATGTTCGTCCTTAGGCCAAAATATGTCGATGTACTAAATTTCATTAAAATATCTCGAAAATAAGAAAAAGAAGATGGACAGACGGACAGACAAGTTTAATTTGTGAATGTCTTTTTTCGAATAAATAAATAATTATAACAATAATAAAATTAATAATAACTAACAATTTTTAAGAGAGAGAAAAAAGATTCAATTGAAAAAGATTTTCCCCCAAAAAAGAAAGAAGCAAAAGATACCGAGATTACGTTTACCTTTAAATCATTGAAGCATAGAGAGCGCATATATCATAAAACAGAAATATGACATTATTTCGCAAAAAACGTTCTGATACAAAAATATATGAACGGGATATATCAACCCTGGATATAGCATAGTACGCCTTATTTACATAATAGTTCGTGTTTTACTGATGATTCGCGAATTAAGTGATTCGTACAACTTCTATGCATCGATAAGTTAACATAAATAAAAAATTTTTAAGTGAAATCCCTACCATTACTACGATTGACGCGTGACGAGCATTTATCCTTTTTGATAAGTGGGTATGTGTGGACTGGCATGTGTGTAAGTGATAAGAAAATGCTGGCACCAAGTTTGTTCTTCTAAAGCAATTTTTCACGTTATTCATGGTTAATCGAGAAAATATTATTTATACTGTCTATGAAATTTTGGAAGATTCTTATAAAGAATGAAAAGGCTTGACCTATTTTAAGGCCGATATTGCAAGCCGAATCATGACAATATCTTTAAGAATCCTAATGGATTGAAATTATTTGTTGCCACATAACAGATTAATGGTGGGGTCCAGTGAACATTTATATCATTTTTTTTTTTTTTTTTTTATACCCATCGCCAAAGGATGAGAGGTGTATTCATTTTGTCAAAACGTGTGAAACGCCCAGAAGGAAGCATTACAGCGCCCACCAACTATATATATTCTTGCCCCCATATCAAATTCTAAATCGATTTAAGCATTTGGCGAAAACATTACAAGTTCTTGCACGCAAGTTTGTATTGAAAATGGGCCAATTCGGCTCAAGGACACGCCCACAGCACCATATAAACTGAAAATATCTCTGTTTTTCAAAGAAAATGATAAATTGATTTTTTGTACATAAACTATAGCATAGCACATAAATGTACGAAAATTTGAACGCATATTCTATCGGATAAATGGAATAAATTGACCACGCCTACCCAATATCATAGTGTATCAAAATTTAATTATCTGTTCAATACCTTTATAACACACGGAAATAAGCTTCAGAAATATATAAATTCTTGGCCAGTTGCAATCCTTGAATGCACCAACACATGTCCGCCTGTTCGTCTGTCCATCTGTCTATTTGTGTAACTTTTTAGTATTTGTGATAAACATTCTCCCGTTAGAGAATATTAAGATATCACCTAAAAATTTGGAGAAGCATTTGGAATTAACCTAAACTTTACAAAGGACCCGCCTACAACGCCCACATGCCTCTACGACAAGCACTTTTACTTTGAAAATAGAAGAAATCAACTGTGCCCGCTACATGCTTTATAGAGCATGAGAAGTTTGTGGATTTACTTTTTTTGTCGTCTTTTGGGTTAAACGGTGACGGGTGTCGCGCTCTCTCTCTCTCTCTCTCTCTCTCTCTCTCACTCTCTCACTCTCTTTCTTTCTTCACATGTAAGAAAATTCTCAAAAAAAAGTTAAGTCTTTTCGAATATTTTGTATGTATGTATTAAGCAAAAATGAAGTAGGGTATCTTAAAAGCGACTTCACCCGATTTGATCTAAAATATTATTTCCCATTAACAAATGAAGTGAAGCTAACATACCATACACTTAGCCTTTGCTTACATCATAAATACAATCTTTGCGCATTTTCATCGGTTTATATAGCTTAGATCAAGAATGAAGAAAGTGAGTGTAATGAGGATAATGAGGATTCTTATGAGATGAAAATTTCATGCATAGGCATTTGAAGAAGTGTGTTTGCATTAGACAGAAAGAAAGTGCAACGAGGATCCACACAGGATGCACAGTGAATGAACATCTTTTGAATTTAACATCTTTTCATATACTTATGTTGTTTTCTTTTCTTTCATTTTTCGGTTATCAACATAGAATGGACGCTACACCCCCAACCATGAAGGATATGGAAGCCGAAAATGGGTAAGTCTTTGTTTTTGTTGCATCTGATGAACATTTCACATTAACGTAGAACAGCTACGCAACATTATTTTTAGATAAGAGTCGCAATGCAATATATATATATAATGCATTGCATGCACAAGAAGCACTATACGGATGAACTGACGATCATATAGAATGACATTAATGACCTCATCTTAGATAGATAACAGAAAGGCTGTGAGATCGTAAAAACATTGAACAAAGAGTCGGATTATTTCAGTGATAGTCTGCACTTATCTGAATGCACTTAGCATGCATTAATTTTAGCATTCGTTTAAATGAAAAAAAAAAATTGGAAAAAATAAATATATATATACATATATAAATTTCATGAATTTGAATCGTTTAAACTTGAACACAGATTCGAATCGAATTGAGAAGCGCTTAGCAGTTTAGCCATAACTATGCTATTGTAGCTAAATATTTCTCTAAAAATGATTTATGCAATTTGCTTCTATCGATGGCACATAGGTTATCGGGTGGTGGTAAGCAGTTGTCATGGCAGTTCATGAATTTCCATTCAAATCAAATCTACTCTAATTACCGTATCCCTTATCGTTTTGTTATTTATTTTTATTATTTATTTTTTTTTTTTGCATAGATTTTCAACATCGATGTTAACGTTTGCCGCCGTCATGACCATAATGATTATGATTGTTGGTATTCTGGGTAATTTTCTAACAGTGGCCGCCTTAATTAAATGTCCAAAGGTACGCAATGTGGCCGCTGCCTTCATAATGAGGTGAATTTCTTTTCTATTAATTAATGCATTTTTTTTGTTTTCTTCATTGCTTGCTTTGTTTTATTTATTTATTTATTTTATTTATTTTGATTTCTTCTTCTCCTATCCTATCGCATCGTCATCAGTTTGTGTATCGCGGATTTATTATTTTGTGCTCTAGTTTTGCCATTCAGTGCGTATCGTTTCATACAAGGTACTTGGACGCCACGTGAATTCCTTTGCAAGATGATACCATTTATACAATACGGCAACATTGGTGTATCTCTGCTTTGCATTGCTATGATCACAATTAACAGGTAATGAATGATAAATGAGTAAATTCTCTTCACTTTGTCTACGCTAAAGCTCTCATCATATCATCATATCGTCTATGTTGCTTTCCGTTAAAATTATTGCTTAACATATATTACAATTGTTTTTCTCTTCATGCTTCATACTTCATGCTTAATGCTTAATGCCCTAATGCTTCATGCGAACACAGTCTTTTTAATGCCCGCAGCGTAAGTCGTCATCCGATTACATCTGTTAGGTAATTAATATTAGAAGCGTTACACTTTTTTTTCTTTTTTTTTTTTTTGTTCTATTATTCCTTAAATAAGAGACTTCACTAGGGTTGTCACTGTCATTTTCATAAACTTATAATGACGATCTTCGATCGTCCGATATCAAACGATATGAAAATTGTGAACCCTTAAATACTCTCCTTCTCCTCCTTGTCTATCATTCACATGTTTCACCTCAAATGTACGTATTTTTCAGATATGTTATGATTGCTCATCATAGCTCGTATGGTAGAATTTACAAGAGACATTGGATTGCAGCAATGATTATATTTTGTTGGGTCTTCTCGTACGGTATGCAATTGCCAACGTTAGTCGGTGCTTGGGGAACTTTTGATTACGATCCTAAATTGGGCACCTGTTCAATTATGAGCGACGATTATGGTCGTAGCAGCAAAACTACATTATTTATAACGGCCTTCGTTATACCATGTTTAATAATTATAGCTTGCTATACGAAAATCTTTTGGGTTGTTCATAAATCGGAGCAACGTCTAAAGCGTCATGCGAATAAACAAAATTCGATACCAAACAATTTGCGGGTGATAGTGCCGCCGACGGCGTCAAGCAATGCCGATATGATTAACGGTCAGAGTCGTGTTTCATCTGCCGATTCGAGTAGTTTTTCAACAGATGTTAAACAAGAATCGGTACAAAAGCAAACTTCACGTATTAAAGATCAACGTGAGGTGCGAGCGAAACGTAACGAATGGCGTATAACTAAAATGGTGTTAGCGATATTTTTAAGCTTTGTAATATGCTATCTACCTATTACGATAGCCAAGGTAGCTGATCAAGATGTCGAACATCCCAGTCTACATATAATGAGTTACATTATGCTATATCTATCAGCCTGTTTAAATCCGATCATATATGTAATAATGAATAAACAATATCGGAAGGCTTATAAAACGGTTATTATGTGTCAACCGGGACGTTTATTGAATTTTGGCAAGGGAGCAGGGTTGGGAGGTAACGGTGCCGACGCGGTTGGCAGTAGTGTCGCAGGTAGGTGTTTTAAGGGGTTGGGTGGAGCAAAAGTACTAAGTCACTGACATTCGTTTTAGAGAAATGGAAAGATACCGGATTGAGCCACAATCACAGTCGCACTTTGGTATCCCAAATGTCGGCAACCGATCAACAAAATACCAGCTTCAGCAGTTCCGTCCAAATGTCGGTACCATCGGCAATAGCCCTGGAATTGCAGACCAACAACAATATACCGACGAATATCACTATAAACGGTGCAATAATAGAAACGACACCGATATCTACCGAGACGAATTTAGAGTTAAAAACGAACGAACGATCGTTAGAGCAAACAATATTGCAGACCAACAGCGTCAAGAACAACAGCAATGCAGCCCACTTAATTGCGATACCGAAGAATTTGATTACAACAAATCGCAACAACAAAAGCAAAGAGTCAAATCGCATAACTCTAGTGGGCGGAGATATAATTTTGGAAGAGGAAGAAGAGGAGGAGGAGGAGGAGGAGGAGGAGGAGTTGGAGGAGGTGGAGGAAGTGGAGGAAGTGGAGGAGGAGGACGAGTACGAGGACGAAAGGGTAAATCCGAAGGCAACATTATCATGCAGTCCAAAACAGCAGGAACAGAGACAGCTACAAACGGAAATCGAACAGATCGAACAGCCCTCAATTCCTGTCCAAACAGTGGGTCAACCAGTTCGACCCACGCCAGTGTACGTCAATGCGAGCGTCTTGCATCAGAAGAAAAACCTATTTTACGGTCAGAGCATCAACGACACACCAGATAATATCAATAACAATATAAATACAAAATTGCAAACCAAATCGAAACTTTTAAAAGACTAAACGCACTAAGGCTTTATTTTTACCGATTTCAATTTTTTATATGAGAATTACTTGATTTCTAGACAATAATATGTACTATTATTATTATTATTATTATTATTATTATTATTGGATAAGATAACTTAATTTAAGGACACGATGAGCTTGAAAACTAATCAAAACATTCCAAATAGATAGCGCGAATGTGAACTCATCTATCCAAGGTCTATAGACGTCGTGTTACAGACTTGTGATCAGTTCAGACATTGATCAACAATGTTCAATGACATGCCCTTTATCGTATTTTCAATGTGTATGTATGTATGTATGTATGTATGTATGTATGTATGTATGTATACCTTATATGGACTTTGAAAAAAAAATTTCTTTTATCTTATTTTCTTTATAAAAAATAGGAGATCACAGCTTAAACGTTATTAATAAAAAATAATAATAATTTCCTAATTTACGCACCTATCAATATATATATATATATATATATATATATATATATATAAGTGAATGAGTAGTAAATTGAGAATTTCATGTCCAATGTATTTCGTTATTCTTGTTTATTTATTGTATCGAATTTATTTGTTTACGATATATATTTTTTATACAAACGCACACACACACATATATAAGATGGTATAATCGTTTAATTTAAGCTTAGCTTTACTCATATCCATTTATATTTACACACGCAAAGAGAGAGAGAGAGAGAGAGAGAGAGAAAGAGAGAAAGAGAGAGAGAGAGAGTAGTTAATAATTTATTGATTTCAAATCATTTTGATCGTATTTCTTTAATACCGACTAAGAATATAAATATACAATAAACAAAAATATGTATAACATAAGCCTTTAAGTTTATTTATGTTAGCTTTAACTTTAAGTAGAAAAAAATTTAATCTGAACCTGTTCGATTACAAAAACCAAAAACTATATTATTATTGTTCGCCAATCAACCGCAAAGAATTATGATAGACATTCAAAGTTATCTGGCCTTAGGAAATAATCCCTATAGGTCGAATAATTCATAAAAATTTTCACTTTCATGAAAGCCGTAAAACAACAAGTTGCCCTTATATCCTAGAGTTTTCAACGTTGAATAATCTGTCATTTTGTAAGTGCGCGAGCCCAATACTCACACAGCGATCGGGCTTAAGTCTCGAATGCATGCACCGGCGCAGATCATTTGCGATTATTATGAAATTTTCATTTCTATCGTCATATCGACCCGTCGGCTATTGGTTACAAGTGAGTTCAAATCGTTAGTACATTTACAAAAAGCGAAGACTGAATATATAGGTTAAACCCGACTACATGCTATATACCATTAATTTGTGAAATATTTTCACGTGTGCTATGGAAATTCTACTGAATAATTATTAGTTCTGATGATCGTAAGAATACATTTGCAATCAAGAAGAGTTAATTTGCATTCGTATTTGCCTCCAGTGTAGTGAGAGCAACAACTAATTAAATAATATCCGGCCGGTGACATAAACATTTATATCCTTCATAGTTATCCTAAAAAAAAAAAGGATTAAAAAATGGGAAAACAAGTAAATTTTCATACATAATATATTGGATAGGCGTGGTCGATTTTTCTCATTTTTGTACAGGTCGCCCCTAAAATATACGTTAAAATTTTTGTAGATCTGTTTGCCGTAGTTTATGGGTAATGAGTAAACTAATTAATTTTTTATTACTTTTAAAAAGCACAGGTGTTCTCAATTTGTGCGGTACGCTAGACATGTCCTTCGACAAATTTAGCCCATTTCCAATACTACCAACCTTCGATTGTTTCCGCCACGTATGAAGTCGATAAATTCATTTTTGCGCGCTGCATATGAATATTTACAACGAATATTAGACAGATAGACGGATAGACGGATAGACATCCAGGGCATCCTTAAATCGAATCAGAATTTGATGTTGATAACGTTTTGACCAATTGATTGTATCCGTCATCCTTGGGTTGATGGATTTAAAAATTGTATGCTCTGCCCACGTGCACACTCGCAATAGATTAAAAACGGAGGTAATCTCGAAAAAATACCGGCACCGTGAAAAAATTTCGAAAAACCTCCTGCAAATGTTCGCTAGATTTGTCTGCATGTTTGATCCACAATTAATATTAAGCTCTCCGCTCCAATCAATTACCAATTCTTATGTAATTGTGTGAAGGATATGCTAATATGCCTTAGGGGAAATAAATTCCAGATCAGCACAGCTATTGTAAGGCGAAAGGGAAAGGAAAGTTGATAATTGCTCGTATTTCCTTCGACGAGGAAGGATCGTAACGCACCGCTCTCTACCATATCGAGCCCAAATTTTATTATAAAATATTTTTATTCTTTCACGCACCAAATTAACTCATAAACTTATTAATATTTGAAATTATTTATCGATGACTCGAATATATTACGCCTTCTCAAATCTTTTGCTATTGTTCTCGTAAAACAAAAAACCAAAGTCCAATCACATTGTATCTCTTACAATTATGAGAAAATATCGATAATTCTTTTTGTTGTTCTTCTTACATTTGTATACCCTACACGACTTATGATTTATCGTATATTAAATAAATGCGGACACAGAAGGGCTTAAGATAGACCCACCATTTATTATATCAATCGATTCAGAATTGTAAACTGAATTGATCTAGGCCTGTCCGTCCGTCTGCCCATCCGATGTCTGTCCATGTAAATTTGTGTTCAAGCTAAAAGTCGTAATTTTTGATGAAATTTGGGCGTACTTTGATCCAAGCACGAACGCTATTGAAAATCGTTGGAATCGGTCCACTTCTTCGATCATTCCATATATAAGGGACTATTCTGAAAAGTGAAGAGTGTTGAAGGCTTTAAAGTATTCTTTCGATCTTCTCGAGACACATATACATAATACAATTTTTTTGCAATCCTTTATATCAAAAATCGTCATTCAAAAAGTCAAAGATGATTTTTAGACAACCGCTATGATCATCAGCCAAGAGTTCAATATGCAGTGTCACCGGTTTGGATAAAGAAGCCTTTATGCCTAGGCCGCTATCATTGAAACGTTTTACGCAAACAAATTGACAAATTCATACAGATCAGGGAGCAATCGACACTAGTTCGTAAACTTTTCACAACATTTGGATCGTTGGCCTCTGGTATTCGTGACAACTGATATGAATTCTCGAATTCGTCACAACTCTGCTGCAAATTTATAGCTTTCGATTCTTCGACGTCGTCCCTTAGTGTACATATACCAAATGTAATACGCAAGTGAGAGTCATTGCGACATAGACTTCTAGAACTTCTTCTCTCACGAACATCATCGGATAGACTTATGCCATCAAAATTATTGCATTTCTTTCGTTTCCTTTCCATAGCCATTTTTAAATCGATGTCTTTTTAAATTATTATTCACATCTTCAACACGTTTTTCTATAATTTTTATATAGGATTCATGGCCGCCTATACCACGTGGTATATAAATTTTACAAAACTATTTCATTTGCAACCGGTCAAAATTATAAATAACAGTACGAAAGTATTCTCTTGCAATATGCATTTTTAATTCGCAATCGTTCCATTGATCAACTTTTCAATGAAATATTCCAAATTGTTGTCCGCATCGTAATCTTGTTTCTTGTTTTTTTTTTTTTTTTATTATGCACCGATGATGTATGATTCATGGCGGCCAATTCTTAATGACTAATCAACTTGACGCGGAGACAATTAAAGCAATAAGTATGTACGCATGCGCAATTATGACTATCGCGTTCTTAGTCATATAATCTACCGCGACAGAGATAGCGAATTTGAATACCAATCAGTACTATATATAACTAAATTTAATACTAAACAATGCTAATTAGTATTTAAATGCCTCCTCTCTCCTCTCTGATAATACGATTTGTTGTTGTTGTTGTATAAAGAGAGTATGCACGGTATGCACAATTGCATAGACAGACATACAGATGACCGGTTATTACCAATACTCCAACTTTTGAAATTATTGAACAAGCATTATCGCAACAATTTATTCATGAGACGATAACTCCTACATCGATATTATTCTCGCAAATTGTGAACAGAATATACATATGAATATAAGTACGTTCTATATGGGCTTGATATGTAATGAAACATTGATTGATTGAGATTATTTGCTTGCATATAGACTGGATGAAAGACACGGACACGGTTGCAGCGCCCCCCCAAACCGAAAAAACTTGAACATTTTTAAACTCTTCCCAGCTAACGTTCGCAGTATTTTCATATAAAACGTGCATATATTAAACTTGTCTTTCCATACGCAACGCTCGTATAACTGCTCGGATAAACTGCTATATGATAAGCATAAGGCAAAAAATATCAATTGAAAGTTTTATTTTCTTTCATATATGTGTTATATAACAAAATCTATCACTCTTGATTTTGATTTTTACACTTTCCTATAATCACTTTTCAATATAATCAATGATAGAAATTGCATTTAACATAAGAGCAAAAGCAAAGCGTGAAAGAATTTTTTTGCAAAAATTTTGATCATTTTTTCACTTAAAAAAGGCATTTACGGAGAAAACTTGGTACAATGTATATTAAAGCAAAATATTTTTTGGTCATTTTCTCTAACTTCTTTCCCATGTCTTTGGCAAGCTCTGGATGTTGTGTCGAAAGAATTTATTTTAGATTGGTAGCCATCCACCCATTAAACCATTTTCGCACTTTCTCAACTTTGCGGATCCGCATAAGTAATTCTGATTAGAAGACGCCATGTCTGATGAGAGATACCACACTGGTTGTGATAGAATTCCCATTCGAGTTGCAACAGTGCATGCGGAACAATTCTTGCAACAAGTGGCCTAAAAATGGCCACCTTTAACACGCTTACACGTTGGAATATGATGGAAAAGGGTCACCATTAGCCTCTGATGGTTCTCGATAGCAACTTTCTTCAAATAAACAACAACGAAAGCAATGAATTTGAAAGGAGAAGAATTTTGAGCGCTCCATGATTAGTGAACAATTCAATAATATTAAATGGAACGCGATTGTTTTATATAGAGCAACGTTGAAACCCTTCGAATTCAACTGTTATCTATACTGGTATTCCTCGTTTCTTTAACATTTTCACCAGCAGAAATCGCTGATTAAAATCTTTGCAAGCACGTAATAAAATGTTTACCTTTTTTTCGGCTCTTTGTATGAATATTGGGGAGAAAACATAATGAATCTTCATTTATAATTCCACCAGTTCATTTTTTTTTTAAATTTCAATACACATATATATAGCATAACGCATAGGCTTTTTTAAATTTAAATAATAAATATAAGAATAATTTCTATTTTAATTATTTATGACGAAACAACATTCAAACGAGCCGCAGTATAAAATGACAGGTTTGTGCGTCTTCAATGTCATGTGTAAGAGAAAATCTCGTAGGCTTTTTTGCTTGATCCACTATATTTATTAAGAAAATCATATATATTTTAATGTTTCATTTACGCTCTTAAACATAGGTACATCAAATTTATCATCATTTTAAATTCTGCGTTGCTTAGTGAAGATAGAAAAAAAACGAAGCAATTTATTTACGTAATATGTGAGTATATTCTTTGCAAAACGTTGATGCGTAACGATAAATATTCGAGCAAAAATACTAATATTGCAATTGTTTCTAAAGCTATTATGCTGCAAAATATTACATTCAAAAAATCCATATCTAAAGCGGTGCCTAAATGTTTTCTATGTCGTCGCGATAATTTATCAGTTCTCAACGGAGCATTGTTAAAATGAAATATTTGCGTATATTTAGCAATAAAGCCATGAAGTCGTAATCTTGTCAGCAAGCGATCTATCGCGGGCTTCATATACGTGTAACGTGGATAATACACGCAATGCATTGCAGTGAATACATTCTCACGTACCAAGGCATACCTGGATATATTTTCCGTACGCTGTGACATATAGAACGTAACGATAGGTAGCGGACTCAATAGACCCACATTGCCATCTAATATATCGAATCGATTAAAGACTTGATTCGGTGCAGTGGAGACGATTTGAGTTATTTTCTTAAGATTCGGTAAATACTCCAATATATGCGCGGAATTCACATCAGTTAATAGGGTGTAATTTTGTTTAATAATTGTATCAATAGTTTGCGGCAACGGTCTATTTGGAGCGTTATGCATAATTTCGAATAAAAATCCTTCATACGAGCAACGTAAGAAGAATACTAAACCCATCCATAAAACAAGAAATAGTTTGAGAAATCTCCTTTTTAAGCCGATTAAGGTTGACTGGCAAAGACGCTGCACTAAAATTTTCGTGGCAAAAGCAATTGCGAATAACAGCCAAGTTGAAATTTGAAATGGCTTCATAAATAGACTTAACGATGAAAATTTATCTTGGTTTTTCAATAAAATTACATAGTTCAATAAAAAGTATGGTATTGAACTGCTCGTTAATTCTGAACGTTTTGGTAGGCATATAGCACAACCGATAGTCATATTGGCTTTCCGTTCAATTAGCTACAGGAAAGAAAGAAAAAAAATAAATTTGTTATCGAATATTATTTTAGAGTTAAAAACAACAAAAAAATAATAAAATTGATTTAAATACATTCTTCAGTGAAAGAAATTAAGCAAACGCAAGGGGGCACCGAGCTCTTTATGAAGTCTTAACATCCAATAATCATAATATTTTCAAAAGGTTAAATGAAAAAGTAGCATATTTTTCGGCTCTTCATGAATTCTCAACATGCAATATAACAATAAGATTTGCAAAAATTTAAATAGAAAAGTAATGCGATTGTTGCATATTTTTCGGCTATCTTTTTGCCTATTTCAACAATAGTCTACAGAAGTTGATTATTTTGCATAAAGTTCCTGTTTTTAGAATGCATTTCTTAGCAAACAAATGGCTATCAGGATAAAAACATTTTATACATATTTATGATGGAAAACTTCGCTAGCAAAACATTTGTGCAACAAAACTATTAAGTACTACATGATAACATCGAATATAAACCAACTTTGTGAAAGAGCGTAAGATAGAACGAATAGATTTACTGAAATTTGTGCACCATGCATGTATAAGAACATGAACGCACTGTGCATACTTAATAAGTTCTTTCACAAGAAATTTAACTTTATTAAATTTGGACAACATTAGTTTACATTTCATCTCGTTTACCCTTTCTCGGCATAACGCTAGTTACGAAAAATAAGTAGCCGTTTACACAGCATTGATTCGTTATTGTATAGGAAAGTTCGATCATGAACTGAATTACGCGAAATGGTTTAGGATATTTAACAATCGGACTTGCCTGGCTATGATATTTTAACTTCTTTTCAATATTGTGTGACGAAGATAGACGAAGAACTGTAATAGGCAAAGTGATGTAAGTATGTTCGTTATAATTAAAACATTCTCATTTGGTTTTAGATCAAATCATTTCTAATTTGAATTATTGTCCATCTTAATTTCTGGAATTGTTGGCTGCCTCTTTTGCTGCTTTTTTTTGTTCTTGTTTTTTGTCCTGTTAAGTACTAGGTATCAAGAAAAAACGTTAAGACAAAAAAGGTGCAGTATATTTGACGTACCATTTTGAAAATTCCTGTTGCTGTATTATTGGCGTAAATGTGGCCAGCAATAAAATTTCTTGGTTCGTTGGGCACCATTTCAACTGAGAAATTCATTAAGTCGGCGATATCATTTAAAATCATGCCATCATATCCGTTATCCAAGTTTACGATATTATTTATGGGCTCGTCTAGATTCATAAATGGCGGTATATGGTAAAGAATCACATTTATGGGACACTGATGAAAATTGTAAACTTTCGAAGCGTACATATAAGTATAGGAAAGTCTTCTCGGTAATTTTTTAAATTTTTGTATTAAAAGTGGTTTGGTATGAGCGCAAAATTTTCGATTGTACGGACGGTATGTATACAAGAACGAATAATTTGCGACATGTATTATTATATCAACGTCGACTATATACGAATCAAAAAAATGTCGAAACATCTTATGCATTTCAAATTGCCTCTCTATCCAACGCTTATTGGAATAATAAACTATCAGATACTTTAATCGGCTGCCTTGAATCTCTGGTATGGCTAGTATCGTGGCCAGAGTGTACCTAAAAGTTTTCAATTACTCAGTTATTATATAAAAGCGTTTGGCATCGATTAGCTAGCTGATCAACACTTACTGCACTTGCTTTAGGCTTTCAGCGAACATAATTATGGCATGAAAATAATGATCTAATTTTACGCTACTGTATTCGCTAATGGCAACCGGTACTTGAACTTGATTATTATAGTCCAATAATTCGTCCAGAATTTCATTGGTAACGCGTTGATTGCTACGATTTCTAACGTTTGCTATGATACGTACGCTCATATTTTGAGCTTTATAAACATCGCGAAATATCGTTTTTAATGCAGCAGTTAGAGCAACCACTAGCGATCCAGTCACGGAATTTACATAATAATTGAAAATTATTGTAAATAATATAAAATTATAAAAAAAAATATTTAAACGATATATTGACATATTGGATAGATGACTCGAACAAATCTAAACAACAATTGATTGCAATATTTCTTTGAAATTATTTTAACCAGAAAAATGTTCATGCATTTTATTATGGTACTGCACACGCAAACCGCATATTATTTTATTTTCTATATCCCTTGATAATAACGTGTTCTATTCACATGTACATAATTATTATGAGATCATTTATTAAAAGCCTTTAAATCACGTTGCTTGTAAACATTTGGCTAACTGTGATTTTCAAAAAAAAAAAAAAAAAAAAATTATTTTTTCTGCTCAATTCAATAGATATTCTGGTAAACTGCGGCAGGTGATAAAAATGAACAATAGTAGGGAAGAGAATATCGACTTAGCCGAGTGTAGGGAGTAATTTACTGTAAGGCAGATTACAAGATGTAATAAATGGAATTTCTATATAGGAATCCATCGTTTCCATCCAATTAGAATAAGCCGTAGTAGAGTCCACCCTTAACTATCGTAGCAATGACAAACATATCATTATTACATACAGATAAGAAGCTGCCTGCAATTATGAAAACTTAAACACATTTTTCCTAAGCCTTTGTTGTTTACCTGGCCGCAGACATCTTCGGCAACATCTACGGCCTTGAGAGCAGTAACTATACATGGCTATGAATTTTCAGATATTTTGATAGAGTAAAAATGTTGAGAAATTATTGTAATATTAATTAATTAATCTATTCTACTAATCAAGCATACTTGCTCTGGATATACATAAATAGGAGACGAGGATGGATGGCACGATACCGTTAGAATGTGGAAGATATTGTTAGCTTTAATCATAACACCGACAAATTCTACGTCAACCGGCTCAGGGATAATTGGTAGAAAGTTTTTTACAACAATTAGCACACCAACAAGTTTCTTGTACACCCTATCCCTTCTGAAGATCAGAAAATTCTGGCGAAAAATCTTCGTATCATTAACACCTGGCTTAAGCCAAATTTCACTAAGAACGACAATGTCGTAATGGCAGCCAATAGTATAAATAAGCAAGTTATTAACTTTCGTATTGAGCACAAATACATTGTAGTAAAGGACAGTAAATTTGTCACTCAGTTTTTTGAACCATCCGCGGAAGGCTTCAACCTTATAGGCGGAGTGTTCGTTTTGTGAGGTAAAAATTCTTTAACTAAAGCACCCTCAGCCCAGACGACCAAACAGTGAATGCAGCCATTAAATTTTAATGGACGATATTTCTCTAGGCTGTGCAGGATTAAACTGAAAAATTCGAAAATTCTTCATTTCACCATCTAATAGCTTTTTCTGCTTCTATTGTAATGAATAATTTTTACTTTTGATATTCTCAATTTCTCGTAAAAGCCATTACATGCCAGTACACTATGTTGAAGAATAAAATAAATAAAAATATATGTAACACAAATTTTTAAAGCATATTAAGTAATTCTCACCTATCAGCGAATTTTCGTTTGTTGGTTTGCTGAATAACAAAAAAAAGAAGAAGAATTCTCTAATTCTAAATCTTTTGTTATATAGTTTGAATTTTTTCTTTTTTTTTTTTTTTCAATACATTTACTTCGTTAATGTTTTCTCGAGTTATTTTCTGTGTAAAAACGTTAATTTTATCATTTAAATGTCATTGTGTAGCTTGGCAGCCCTGTTGCCACGTATTTTCATGTCAATTTGACAAAATGAAAATACAATTTACAGTTTAACGTTCCTCTCGTTGGTCATTCGTGTTGAATTTGTAGAAACTGAAAGAAGTTGCGTGTAAGTGCGAAGTGTATAAAAATTGTACTTCTTTTTTTTTCTTTTTTTTTATTGAAAAAGAAAAATGATAATTTATTAATATGAAAAACCCATGCATATAGTGTCGAGAAAGTATATTTTAATAAAATCATTAAAAAATTTCCAAAAAAAAAAGAAAGTAGTAGGACCGACAGCAAAGAGAGCGTGTGAAATCGTTTTAACATATTTTAAAAATCTGAAGATTCGTTAAAGTGTGTTGTGTGCCCTTAGCAAATTTCTTCTTAATTGTTCAAGTAAGCAGCATCCCTGGAAAACGTAAATTTGCTTAATAAAAGAATTCATTACCTGTCTGCCACGCAGGCAATAACATGAAAGTAAAAGTTAAACACGCACTTTCAAGTTTAATGATTTTCGTATACATATAAGTGCGTTTCTCAAGAACCAAACTGGCTTTCCACTTTTATCATTGCACACGTCTCTCTACATCACCTGAACAAAATATGAATGCTATGAAAATTCAAAGGCTTCGTCAACATATTTTATGAATGGGATCAGTCAATAAAGTAATAAATTGTTTTGTGTTTTTCTTTCATTTTCAGCTTTTAATTAACCCGCCATGGATAAAGTTGTTAAATTCTGCGAACCTGGACGTGCTTTTGCCAAGGACTCAATACGATTAGTGAAACGCTGCACAAAGCCCGATCGCAAAGAATTCCAGAAAATAGCTATCGCTACAGCTATTGGTTTCTGCATCATGGGTTTCATTGGTTTCTTTGTCAAATTGATACACATACCCATTAATAACATAATTGTGGGTTCATAAGTGATTCAAATAATAACAACAACAAAAACAAGGGAAATATCTTTTTTACAACTTGAAAGCTGTATCAGCGATTTATAATTTTATAATTCTTTTCTTTAATTCATCTGTAACGCTATTTTCAAGTTAAAAGTTGCGCAGAAATTTCTTTTCAATGGTTTTGCATTGTTTAAAAACTTTTCTAACAGCACTTTGTGCTAAAAAAAACGAAAAAAAAAAACAAAAAAAAAAAGACTTAGTTCTTAAGAAGCTAACCAATATTTTTCAAATAGTTACATTATATTAAAAAAAGTTAACTGAAAAAGAGATTTACTTATAATGCTTTCTTGTTTCATTCGAAGAATTTTTTCTCTATAATAAATCCTAAACCTTAAAAATATTAAACCAACAAATTTTGTTTGAAGCCTAAGAATCATGATTAATTCGTTTCTCCTTTTTTTCTGCAAGCTTGAAATTATTGCCAAATTTCGCTTATCTGTGATGCGGTACTTTTTATTTTTTTATTTCCTTCTTTACAATATCGTTTTTTGTGTTTTTTTTTGTTTTGTTTTATTAATTAATGCTTTTCCTATAAAACTATTTAAAAAATGTATATAATTACGTTTATTTGTGTTTGTCTATTAATAGGATTTTCGAGCACCAGCTCAACTTAAGATCACTTGTAAAACTCTGTTACAGTTCTTCGAAAAATGCTACACGAGCTTTAGTTGAACCCGATTTTAGTTTCTTCAATGTCGAATATTTGGTTTCGCCCGCTTTCAACTGAGCCTCGCTTAGTATATCCAAATTGGTCTGATTTTCTTCAATCTTTAACAATTCAATTTCGGATCGTAGGGTTTGCAATTGATTCTGTACCTGTTTCGATTTTTTCATATACTCAAGGCGACTACGTTCGATCTCATTAGTTATCTGTTCCATTTCACTGTCAGTCAGTATAAATTCTTTCGTTTCAAATTCATCTTGTGAGTCGTCATGATTAAGATTTAAATCATTTGCAGTTAATTCGACGCCACCCGCCGTCTCATTGATATCCGATGCTGAGTTACTGTTAGTTAAAGAAGGCGTACTAATTGATGTGACAATATTATTGCTACTGTTATTGCAAACATTAATGGAAGATGTTTGAATTAAGCTCTCATCCGAATTCTTGCGACCACGATTGAGGAAATTTAGTAAACGAGCGGTAGCTTCACGTTCAGCCAACTTGGCACATATTAATTCTTTTCGCAATTTCTCTGCCTCAGCTTCACGCTTATCCTTTTCTACAGTGAGTTGATGTACAAAATAATCGGCATCACGAATTTTCTTTTCCAATTCCAGCTTTTCACGTTCGATCTTCATTTGCCGTTCACGCAAACGGTCCATTTCACTTTTGAAATGATTCGCTTTACACTCTGTTAGCTGCATTTGTTCTTCATTAACACGACTCTTTTCGAAATACAATTCCTTAGTTTCTTCGGACCGGCGCTATTAAAATGTGAGATACGAATATAAATTTATATTTTTCTAATTAATAACAAAATTTACCAATGCATCGCTGGCCATGCGCATTTCTTCCTGTAAATGCTCTAAACGTTTTTCTAATTCATAGCGATCTTTCTCTGCCTTTTCACGTAACTTTTTCTCCCTCAAGAATTTAGTTCGCTCCAATTGACGTCTTTGTTTTTCTTCCTTCGCTTGTGCTTTCATTTGCTGAATTTCCATAGTATCGGGCTTGCGACGTCTCATATAGAGATCATGGTTACCTTTGCAAAGATCCAAGATCTGTTCGGCAGAAAATTAAATCCTTCTCCAAGATACAATTTCATTTCAACTCACCATTTTATTTATATGCAAATCTTGAGAGTAGAATATGAAACTGGATACTTTAGCGTCCACCAGACGTATTGTAAACTTCTTATCATCAAAGCTGACATGGCGTATTTCATTCCATTGAAAAGTCGTTTTCGGAGTTAACTTATTATGATAGTCGTAAATATTTAGACCTACAGCGGTTACTCCCAACCAAAGTTTAGTTTTGTTTTTATTCTAAAGGAGTTTTTTTTTTTTTTTTTTTTAGTTTCAATAGATATTCACGTATTGAGAAGGTGCAACTTGCCGTTATAGGAAAGTAGTTAACCCCGTACATATCTAAATCTTGTGCTATTTTCAAATACTCCATTTCTACTTCATCGCGGGTCATTGGTTCGTGATCCATGTACCTAAACAGAATAAGAAGGAGCGTTAACAAGAGGCTTTTATTGTTTATTTATTACACACCATGTCTTAATGCGCTCCTCCCACATTTTCGGTGTCATTTGATATTGATCTGTTACTCCTTTTGGCAATAAATCCACACCCGCAAGCATACCGTCTTTGTAGGTTTCCGCATCATAAGGTCCATATTGAACGTGTACTGCATAGGATGCTAATAGCACTGAAGCTTCTGGACGACAATAGATATCCATGGATAGAATGCTTTGTTTAACTTGCAAAAAGAATAAATGTTGTGTTATCTCCTGTATCAGTTCTTCGCTAACATTTTCCGGAAAATATTTCGCATAGAAACTGAATACATAAAACCCGTTCGCTTGCAATTGCATGCGTTGGTCTTTGACTTTTTTATCCATTTTTAACCAGGCGACATGTCCGCGACTGTCCACGTACTGTAAACCAAAATACCAATACTCTCGCAAACCTATAGTCCGGCACACCAAATCGAATAGATCTTGACCGCTGGCCCTTTGCTCCAATTCAAATTCTAACTCAGAATCGAAGGTGATTACTTTAACCGGATAAACGCGTAATTTCTTACTACGAAACGGACTCATTCTTTTTCATAAAAATGATTTTAATTTCTTTTAAACGAAATTTCGCATCTAAAACCAAAACTTATGTACTGTGCTTGTACTACCGTCATTTATTTAATAAATAAATTTTCTTATTTCCCAGGCACTTAATTGTTGTTATTATTAATAACCCAGCATTGTTGTTATTGGCACTTTATGGTTGAAAATTAGTATATTTAATATTAAATTATTTCTGTAATTTTTACAATCATAATACTTTTTGTATAGAATTTATTCAAAATTTTATAATATCTCCTATAACACAAATTTCCTTCACAGACTTTTTTATTAACAACTAAACAAAAAAATATGTATAAAATGAGTAAAACAAAAACAACATCCGTAAATTGTCAAAAAAAAATTGCAAAACTAAAAAAGAGGTTTAGTTGGTTGTGTTCAAACGATAATAACGAAAACAGCTGTTGACATTAAAAAAAAAGAGAAAAAAACGCTATTTATATTGGTGTTTATTGTTGCGAATTTTATATCGTATGTGATTGTTGCCTTAAATCTAATATCGTATAGATTTTGTTGCTGTACGGTATCTATTTTATTGTTTAAAAAACTGGCACTGTGTGTGTTTATTGTTGCAAATTCTATATTTTGTTTATATTTGCCAAGCACATGCTACTGTTTACATTTCAAAAGGAAATCATTGCATTTTGTTGCTGTAAAAGTAGACATTAATAAGCATAACGAAATAAATCACTTTTAAAGTAGGATTGTCTGGATCAAAATTATTGAGCAGTGAACAAATTGCAGCGTTTCAGTTTGCTCCTCACTTTAATGCGCTTAATTAAGTTTATAAAATCGCTTACGAAGCATCTGCTTGATGACTTAAGAGATCATTTGTTGCAATCTAATTGAAAAAGTAAGGTAATATACTGCACCTCGTTCATAAAATATTTTTTTTTTCACGAGTTCTTAGAAACTCGGATGTTAATATCAATGCGAACCAATGCTCAGGATTGCAGTTTTTGGTCGAAAAAATATATCGCATTATTCGTAAAAATTGAAATGAAAACAAAAGCTTTACCGTTTAAAATTAAAGAAAAAAAAAAAAAACCATATTGTTCCCAATCTGGGCACTGCAATCTACAAAGTGCTTAAATTCGACTTTTATAGATATTATCGTAAATCACAGCTGAGGTCAACGATCTCACCAAAGTTTGCCTTTATGACAATAATTTTCTCATTTTTATATGTAAGGACTTGTACCATCACATTTCATGTACTTACTCTCTCTCACTCTTTCTCTCTCTTTCTCCTTCTCTCCTCATGTTTTATATAAATGCGAATCCTACGTACAAATGCGTGAATATATCGGAAAGAATAAAGCGATAGGAAACAGAAAAGTTACATAAAAATGTCCAATTATCGAATCTCTCGCTTATAGACTATGAATATTAATCTGTTATTAATGCTATCATAAAATGGAGACCAACATTTGTATATAAGCACGTCTATTTTCGCAATTCATTATGAAAACAACTGATGGATGATACGACACGTTACGCTAAATTGTGTAGCTAATCGGCAAAATGCTAATCGGCTGTATGCTGTTTTGCACATTCATGCGTTTACACGAACATTACACTTTATTGAAATGCAGGTAATCGAGACGAGTAAAACTATATAAATTTATTTGATTGTAAAATTTTTATTAAATAAAATTATTATATATCATTAAGAGTTCATTTTCTCATACTGAAAGAGTAGGTTTAGAATATTAATGAAAAATATATATTCGGTCATAAGCGCTCATGTTTTTTTACATATTTTGAGAAATTATTTAACTGCATAATTATCCTTTCACAGGAATGAGAACACTTTTTGTCGAAACAGATTTTTCTTCATTATCCTCAAATTATCACTCATTAATAATCAATCAGTTTCAGAGTGAACATCTTTTCAAACGCTCCATGTGCAATTCGTGCAATAGCTTATTTTTAGTATAATAATAGGGATTTTCTACTTCGTTTAAATCAGGATTGTAAGTAGCCTTTTGCACCACATCTATAGAGTCATGGGCTAATGATTCCATATGCTGTTGTTGCGTCAACGACTGAGTTATAATATCCTTCGGTACGTATTGGTGCTGCGAATGATGATTATTATTATTGCCTTGTATAGCTTGATATATATGATTATTATGCTGTGATTGTTGTTGATGATTAAGATTTGTGTCTTCGAAATTTGACAAATGCAAGTTATTGATCCGTTTAGACAATGGTGTCGATTCACATAGTAAATCGTCTTCGCGGTTACGTTTTCTATAAATATAGGGATATGTAGTTACAGTGAGTCTCATTAATATTGGGTGTTTTCGCTCAACAAAAAATAAACGCTTGTTAAACCTAGTCTATAGTGCAACCGTAAAAATTTATTTTGTCCCACTCGGGGACAAAATAAATATATAAAAAAACGAACATATAAAACATTGTTCCAACAGACAAGAAATTTAAATGACTTCAAGAGACGTAGCGTCATTAATGTTCGGTTTTTTCATATAAGGAAGCGTACGAAAGAAAAGAACAACATACTGTTAAAAATTAGTATTTGGTGGTGTATCCCTTTTGTTTAGTTTGCGTCATTCAAATGTTTTCTTATATTTTGTGTAATTCTTCTTGTGTAGAAACATATCATCTTACTTCATTCTTCATCCGCCTGAGTAGCCGAAGGCGAGGAATCTTGACTAGCAAGTCAATGGTCGTGGATTTGAATCTCAAGTGCGGTAGAGTTTTTAATAAAAGCCGATAGCCTTAGATGCTAGTGCTTTTAAGAGCTTAGTCTTAGAATTTATTTCTCTGGCGAAATTAATAATAATAATAATAAATAATACTTCATTCTTCTTGTAGTTTTTGCATTTTTTTTTTTATGCTTAAATATGTATTCCGTGGCAGGACAAAATAATAAAATAAATTTTTATGTTTGCACAATGGACTAGGTTTAATAAACGTTTATTTTTTGACGAGTGAAGAATCCCAATATTAATAAGACTCACTGTATGTAGTGAGCTTTTAAGTCGCACTAACACTCCATTTTATTATATTACGTATATTCTATATTTTTATTTACTTATCTACCTTTTGTCTATTAACACTGACATGATATTTTGCCGTATGCCGAGTTTTGTTTGGTTTAAAATTTTAGAAATTTAGCAAAATATATTCTTGATACACTCCTCTTCTTTTTTTTTTTTTTTTTGGTATGTTGAACAGAGATGGACTAAGCCAATAGATTTGTTGATACACTCCTCCTGTTAAAAAAATATAATTATATTCATTCTATGAAGTTTTTTTGACAATGCTGTCAATAAGCGATTGTTACAATTATGATTACCAGGTCTACGTGTATTGATGTATGAATAAGGGGATTAAAGGATAAAAGAAAATATGTCGTCATTGAATAAACTCGAGTATACTTACACAAAAAAAAAAAAAACCGAAGAAGATATTCATTTTACTACAATTTAGTAACGACCCTGTGCTGAAAATATATTGCATCAACGCTGTTTGTGTTGGTGGTGGTAGTGGTAGTGGTAGTGGACTAGTCATTTTCAGCACAAAGTAAAGAACAAGAAGGAAATTTTTTGAGCTCTCTTGCTGATCTGCCCAACCCATTAAACATTTATTGTAATAAAGACTGTAAGTAAATTTTATAATTATAAAGAATATTAAAGCAAATTTACATCACAAAGTATAGAAATTGATTGTCAAAATAATGAAAATATTAGTGAATAAATGTGTAGACGGCAATGAACCGTAGAAAAGAGTAAAACAAAAAAAAAAAAAAATGAAGCATTGATTGTGAAGTAAATTTCTAACCAGTGCAATAATGAAGATGTGTGCTTGTGTAGTGTGAGCATTGGGTATTTTATATATGAATTGTTATAGTGCAATGTCGTCTCGTTCGTTGCTTCCCAAAATTCTTTGTCACAACATCATAAGACCGGCAAAGCGTATAAACCTTTCAGACTTTAACTTAGTTTTAATGGTTTAGACAATTCCTCGTTTGCTTATCCAAACAGCCCTAAAAACTATTACTAAACTTTTGATATTTAATGGAACAATTGCTCTGCTCTGCTTTGTCGCTGCTACAGTGCGGTTTAATTGCTTTTCTTAGAGCAGCTTTTACAATTTTTTTTTTTTTTTTTGCGTTTGTGCTAAATTCCTAAAAACAAGTTTAAAAGCCAAATGTTTGCTGAATTGTCCAAAAATTACTGCTAAAGAACAATATTTGTTGTGATATTTTTCTTATAGGATTGCTTTTGAAAATTATTATTAACTTCATTGTTTTTCATATACAAATAGTAAAGTAGATTGTGAAGTCTTTTCCATTATGTGCGTAATTGAATTTGAGTCACCATATTCAAATTGCGTGTGGAAGCGAAAAGCAACGATCACTAATAAAGCATATAGAAAAAAATATATATATCACTCCACAGTATGTAGAACTAATTAACTTCCCGATTTTGCGATTCATTCACTATTTGATTCTCATCTCGTTCACCGTGTTAAGCACTGGAGTGTCTTGACTGTATTGTGTTAGAGAGTGCGGTGCTGTTCAATATTACTGGCCGCCGCCTTAGCATCCTGAGGAAGAAATTTATCCCAAAAAAGAATCGAGAGAATTTTGAGCAGCCCAAAAATAGCTGGAATGAAATTATGTTTTCTATTAGAAAGAACGTAGCGTTTATTTTTGATAATAAAAAGAAAAGAAAGGCCCGTTCTTACAATTTTAGACATAGGAGATTTTGCGTTTGAGAACCAGACTACTCAAAGTTGAATGTGCAATTTCAACTTAAAATGAAATTCATCTGGAAAATACGTGTATATGAGCCCATTTAACAGCCACTATCTTTACACCATATATGTTTAAGAAATGACATCTCTGTGATAACGTCGACTCTTACAAACTTTTGAGAATATATTAAAATTATGTTCATAGTTACGTTATGCTTTTGTATAGAAAGGTGACGCTGTCACGCGAACGATTTGCTGGGACGTAATTTTTCCTTCAACCACTACCAAGTGAGAAGCAGCCTTAATACTTGCCCATCTTATATGGCTAACAAGATTGTTATCATGCCTAAGTAGGCCACGTACATTTGGTTCTATATAACCATTAGCTCTTTATGTGTAACATGCGGCACGCAACCAATCCTGACAAGTAACTACGTAGATCTAAACTATAGTATGGCTTAAGATCTCTTGGTCATCGTTATTCATTTATTCGTTATTCTGAAAGTTTTCTTGGAGGATATTATCAACCTAATATACCATGCAAAAAAGGAAAAAGTGTAACAAGACGATGTTAGCCAATCAACGGTAAACACAAGAGCAAACAAGCGTAAATACTCTTCAGTATATATTTGTGGGAGGAAGGGAGGGGTAGTATTAACTTAGCGAATATTAACTCTTCATTATGCGATTCTGTTTGTCACGCTTTATTGGCAAATGGATTATAAAAAATTTTGTCTTGCTTTTATATATTTACTGGTTTTTACTTTCGTCTCCTTTTATGCCAGCACAGCGTATGTTATCAATTATCGCTATTGCAATGATATTATCTATGTTTACAGATTAATTAAAAACAATGCAGACGATTAAATGTGTTGTTGTGGGTGATGGTGCCGTTGGTAAAACCTGTTTACTCATCTCTTATACAACCAATAAATTCCCTTCGGAATATGTGCCCACCGTCTTTGATAATTATGCGGTAACAGTGATGATTGGCGGGGAGCCCTATACTTTGGGTTTGTTTGATACGGCCGGACAGGAGGACTACGATCGTTTGCGTCCCTTGTCGTATCCACAAACAGATGTATTCTTGGTTTGTTTTTCTGTGGTTAGTCCAAGTTCATTTGAAAATGTTAAAGAAAAGGTGAATATGAATGAAAAAAAAAAAAAAAACACCAAATTTATTTTTACTATGTTTTTTTCTGTTCAAATTGCACGCAGTGGGTCCCGGAAATAACGCACCACTGTCAAAAGACGCCTTTCTTGCTAGTGGGAACGCAAATAGACTTACGCGATGAAAGCAGCACTTTGGAAAAATTGGCCAAGAATAAACAAAAGCCAATTGGCATGGAGCAGGGCGAGAAGTTAGCCAAGGAATTGAAGGCCGTTAAATATGTGGAATGTTCCGCTTTAACACAGGTATAATGCATGAACACAAATAAAAAGTGCAAGTGAAAGAAAATTTAAATAATTAAGTCTAATTGTGTATAGCACACGGACGGCATAAATTTGAATTGAATGCAAAATATGATATGACTTTTTCGTATTCAAATTAAAATAAGCACACGTCCACTTCAAGTTTATATTGACAAGTGAACGCGTGCGAATCTTTTTGTATCTCTTTTTGTTTCTCTTAAGGCAAGCGCAAATCTGTTGAACACCTCCGCGCAATGAGAATAAAAAGAGATTGATTGCATTGAAAACGTTCTTATATGAAATTAAATTATATCGTCCAATCAAAAAGCAAAGAGAATTTCCAAATCGCGTGAATCTGATAACTTTTTTTTTGTGTTGGTAGGTTCTCAATCGACCTTTTTTGGCAGTGTCTTTCAAAATTACCATTGAGGCGTATTGAAATTTTACGTTGACGGCAAAGCATAAGGATTCTTACTAATTAATATTAAGAGTAAAGGGCTGTTGTGACGATAGCATGTCAAATATTACTTAGGTTAGGCAGACAACAATTCTAAGATTATGATGCCACGATCCTGCCACGTCAGCAGCAGTAATCCCTTCAATACCTAATGATAAAATTTGGACTGAAATTACTGAATTTTCCAGCATTTTCTTGCAAAATGCACAATACATATACGGGGCGGTAGTTATCCTATTCCTCAAATGTGGTCTCGACTAAGTTAATTCTATTTCTGAAACCTAAAAGGGAATTTGCAGAAGCCGATAAAATGAAAAAAAAATTTTTCATTGATCAAATCGAATGCATTAATTTTTTTTAAGCCATCTTCTGATTGTCTTTAATTTTTTTTTGCATCTGTAAAAAGCAAAAATCAATCTTTTTATCTTAAATTCTTCGTTTGTTTCATTTGTTTGTTTGCTTTTTGTTATTATTTACAGAAAGGTTTGAAAAACGTGTTTGATGAGGCGATTTTAGCTGCTTTAGAGCCACCAGAGCCATCCAAGAAAAAGAAGTGTAAATTTTTATAATTTTGTATGTAATTTATAAATGATATAATTTATATATTATTTAAATAACAACAATAACAGTAACAAAAAGAAACCAGAAAAAGCGTAACTTTTTTAAAATAATAACGTAACAACGTAACGTAATTAAAGAACCACTTTTTCTAAAAATTGAAAAGAAAAAATTGGCTTAACAATTGAAAAAAATAAAAACAAAATTTTCAAATAATTAAAAAAAGAAAAATATATATATATTAAAAGAAAGGCAAAAATAAGCAAAAGAAAAAATATATATATAAAATTATTTTCACATAATTTGGGTGAAAAATAAAGAGGGGGAAAAAAAAATAAAATAAAAATTTACACATTTATAAATAAAACAAAACACGAGAAAAAGAAATTGAACAAAATTCCACAATTGCTTATTTAAATTAAAAAAATATAACAATAATAATAATAATAATAATAAATTTATTATAGATACCAGAGAAGAAAGTTTGAATGGAAGAAATAGAATAAGTATTTAATAAAGAGAGAGAGAGAGAGAGAGAGAAAAAAATGAGTAAAGCAAAAGTAGCTGCAAATCTCAAAACAACGCCACTAAAATCAATTGAAATTTTTGTAATAAAAACAATAACTCTACCGTTTTTTTTAATTATGTGAATGGATATATGCGCCGCATATTTGATTCTCTTTGATCCAATGAAATTATCTGTATTCATTTAATTCATTTTTACATTTGAAATTGTATCACAATATGCTTAGATTTGTTTATTGAAAAACTAAATTATTTTTTTACACATAAAAGATCATATAATCAATTTTTTTTTCTATTCCCCTTTTTTTATATTCTCTTTTATATATAAAACGATTTTCATATCTTCTTTGCATTACTATCAGCTTTTAATTTGTAATTATCTTATACCAAACGCTATTGAAAGTAAGTGCATTTTCTCAATTTCTTTGTCCTATCAATTACGCATCAAAGCAATCTTCTTGATTGTTATTCGATTCTCCCACGCGACTTAATTCAATCTATCTGTCCGTCTAAGGAGCTTTGTATTCAAAGTTATCCCATATGCGATTAAAATTCTCATACTTTTTTCAAAGTCGACGCAGCAGAACATAGTGTGACTTGAAATTAATAATAATAATAATAATAATAATAATAAAAAAAATCTGATATCATATACTCCACGAATTATCGCAAATATCTATTTATTATTTCTTTTCTCCGTTCTCTTACTTCACACTTAACTTATTTACATTATTTAGTTGATCCTTTATTGGTTTTTATAAAACTATAAAACATCAAGCGTTAAATTCTAAAGCATATAGAAGATGAAAAATGAAAGAGACATTAATAAACAGCAACAATTGAAAAAACATTCAGTTAATAAGAAAAAAATAAGCAGTTAAAATATTTAATTAATAATAAAATAAATCATAAAAATGATTCTAGTTCTTCTGTAATAGTGAACTAATAATGCATTTTTAAGCGAAGCAAAAAACTTATTATTAATAATGATAATTATTATAAAAAAGAAAAAACAAAACAAAAAAAAACAAAATGATTAATAAAACATAAAAAAAAAAATCCATATTTTTATATATACAATTATCAACTTTTTACATTTACTATAATTTTTTTTAGGTTTTAGATTTTGTAATTAATAATTTCTAATATATATAAAATATATTACATACACCTATACACATACACAAACAACAACAACAATTATTACTAATAAATAAAAACAAAAAAAAATATTAAAAGTTTATTTTGTTGCATTTTCGTGTGAAAAAAAAAATAGTTAACCGTTCTAATTAGGTGTTTGCAAAAATTTTGATCAGCGATTTCACCAAGCAAAAATGTTCAAGAATTGGGAATCACCATGCAGTATACATAACGGTTGAATATTATGGTTTTGACCTTTGCCTACATAAAATAACAGTTTTTCGATTTAATATTTTATCGATTTATTCAGCGTACGTTGACGCTAATCATGAAAAACTCAAAATTGCATTTTCGACATTTGTTTCTGTTGTTATTCGATTTGAAGATATCTGCTGTCGAAGCCCACCAAAGACGTACAGAAGCTTATGATGATCCTGCTCCATCATATTCCAATTGTCGGTTTCCGGTGCAACGATTTAAAAGTGACGACATGAATTGACTAATAATGGGATTTTTTTTTTTTTTTGGCCACTTACTGCAAGAGTTGCCCGGAATACACTGTTGCAGCACGAATGAGAAGTTCTGCCACACCCAGCGAACTCGATCAGACATGATCTAATTACCACCTGTTCAGATCGGCGCAGCATAGTTTGGCCGACACGTGGATCCGCAAAGCTGTGGAGAAATGCGAAAATGGGTCAATATAAGTTCATTTGACATAATATCGCCATTTTATCACAAATATTGTAAAATGTTGTAAACAACGCTGGAAACTATTTTCGTTTATATATATATATTGTATCAATTTTCCATAATTTAATTCCATTTTCATGTGAAAAAGTGATCAAAACTTTTGCAAACACCGAATAAAAATGATTTCACGTCGATCGATCTTATCGATGTTATCGATATTATCTAAAACTTAACATCTGCTATGTATATGACATCATATATGTACGCCCTCATACATATATTCGCAAATAATAACTAACTAAACTAAAAGGGTTTGAGGAAAAATTTGAATATAACTAGCAAAGACACTTACCATATCTGTTAACAAATCTCTGTCAATGCTTTAACAAAGTTCTGTTAAATATCTAAACTTTCATATATAGTTGAATATGAAAGCCTACTCCTTCTTCATATTAAACAACGTAAAATATTCTTTTTTTATTCGTTTTGCCAAACCATCGAAAATCTCGAAAATTTAATAATTTCAATCGCAAATTTTTCCACCTGTAATCACATTTCTGTCTATAGAAAAATCTGCAACTAAATCAGTAAAAGCGCAAAACTGCTACTAAAGCTAATTGACGCTAAATGAAAATATTTCTCTTTGTTTTGCTGACGGCTTTGCATTTTCCCTTTGGTGCTGTTATTTAACAGAATCGTTTACCTTTGGTCGGTTATTTAATAGAATCGAATTCCTTTGGTCTGTTATTTAACAGAATCGAATCCCTTTTGTCGGTAAAGTTGGGCATTTGGTCTGTTATGTAACAGAATCGAATCCCTTTTGTCGATTAAGTTGGGCCTTTAACATTAGCTGCTTGGCGTTAACATTTTTGTTCAGTTGGGCATTTAACCATTTCTTTATTAAAAGCGACTCTGTGCTTTCAACAGGGAATTTAATCATTTCTCCGCTATAAAATTAATTTAATGTACAAAGATTTTCATCATAAAACTCTATAACACTATATATGAAAGGGAATTGAAGAAATCGTCCAGTCAAAATAATAATGTTTAGTAATGTTTAATAAAGTTTCGATGTTTAACTCTGCTTATATTTGATATGTTTAAGAATGTTGAAGAATGCTTAATAAGGTTTTGGTATTGAGATACAAAAGCATATTGCAAACAGGAAATGTTGCGTAAATTTATTAAAATATATAAATATAATGTTTAGGCGGTAGAGGAGTTGAAGAGATTTTCCAAGAAATGTTAGAAAGAAACCACGAGATGAATTATTATTATTATTTTAAGTTATAGCCACTCTCTCTCTCTCTCTCTCTCTCTCTCTGTCAGTATATTCTTGTGAATGCCTTGTTAATCTATGTATATGAAAATACCTTTCAAACAAACTAAACAAATTCAATTTCTCCCAACTCTGCAAACTATTTTTAATAATTTTTTCAAGTTTGATCTGCTGGTAGCGAAAAATGTCTATGGAAAAAGACCCAAATTTAAGACTCTAGCGCGACCCAACTAGAAAAGTTCACCTATATTCACCTCTATCACATGAATGTGAGCGGTAGACGTGTATTCTTCTATTTCTATTTCTATTTCTATTCCTACTGCGACTGCGACTGCGACTGCGTCCACGACAGCTCAAGTCTTCTTACATTTTGAGCGTATTTGTTGCACATTTAAATGGATCCGGAGATCCGAGGGTAGTTGTCCCTAGCTGCAGCGGGGTCGCTGGATGCAGTGCATCCCCTCGATTCGGCGCAGTTCCTAGGTATAGCGTAATCGCTAGGTGCAGCGCAGTCGTTGCATCATAAACGTGTATTTGGTTTTAATAATTATTAGAATTTGAATTTTTAGAAAATCGTTTAGCTTATGGGCCAACTCTTTTTGAAAATTCGAACATCATCTCATCGAATGATAAATAAATAGATAAAAAATGATTGCTACCGCAGTAAGCATTCAGCGTGAAATCTAACGCCAATTAATTCAAATTCTTCAGACGAAGTTTTATCAACAGATATGGTGGATTATGGTCTTTGCTAGATAAATTCGAATTTATCATTATCACGCGCCCTTAAATTTCTTTCAAGTTCAAGACTTTTCTTCCCATATGCGAGAAAGTTCAGTCTATCTATTAAGCCAGTAATAGAAATTGATTTCGTGACAAAAGCTACAATGATGTCATCTCTTAAGGAAAAGATAATTTCATTATTAATATCAATGATACTGACGAGAAAATTTTTGAAAGAAGAAAGTTGTGGGTCGTTAGATTCATTAAATAACGTTAATGTTAATTAATTTTCTTATCAGGTTCGAATTGCCCTCTAAAGCATAGGTCGATGTTGTTTTTAAGGTCACGATCGTCATTTTAACGGACGTACAGATGGACACGAGTACATTTCAAATCGATGCTGCTATTTACGCTAATCGAAATCATTAAAATATAAAAGTTAAAGCGAAAATTAAGAGAGAAAAAAAAAAAAAAAAAAAAAAACATAAAAAAAAAGACTATAAAAAAAATATATTAAGAAACAATATATCCAATTTAATCATTTTAACAACTTATAACAAAATGTATTAAGCAGTAACTGCTGAGCAAGCATATAGAAAACAACATTAGCATCAAATGGTTTTTTTCCCACCTGCTTGTAATGAACATAATTTTTTCCTACGTAATGGTAAATTAATTACAATTTTAAGAAATATGAAAACTCTCAAGACTTTGAAGCGAATACTATAGATATCGGCAAACTTGAATGGTTTATGTGATTAACTGAGCCAATGGATTGGAAAATCGAAATGCTCGCCTTCACCACTTTCACTTTTACATGCCAATGCCAATATTTGAACTGAATTATATTTCGATATCCATTCGATATCCATTCCATTCCGTTCCGTACCATTATTATAGTTCATTCAAAGCGTTCGACTGAAGGACACAAAAAAGACATAATTAGTTCAACGTGAACTTCGATTCACTTAATAATATCTGCACATGATATCTGCACAATTCCTGATGAGTTTATATCGCTGTTGTAAACGGTATAACAAATTTAATGTGCCATAAATTTTTTCTTTCACATATACATATACAAATAACATATATATATATATATATATATATATATATATATATACATATATCTTTTAGAAGTTTTCGACAAAGTGGCTTGGCATTGTATACCAAAAATCTGAAGTGGTTGGTGTAGTGACAAAAAACACACTTAACTATGTACATAACTCTTTTTTATCCTATATCTGATCAAAAAGCATTAAACTTGTTATTTACGAACCTAGCAATAGTTAAGCAAGCGAACAAACTAACTATTTTAACTATTGTATAACGACGAATTGTAGATCCCCAACACCAGTCGAAACATTCGAAAACATTCATATAAATAAAATTTAGAAAATTTTGGTTTTTTGATTTTAAAGTTTCACAAGCAAGCACTTACTGCGTACTTTTTGTTTTTTATTTTTATATCTTTGGCACAAATGTTTGCAGTCAAAGCAAAATTTACGACAATCCAAATACGTCATTAAGTGTGTGCAAATGTATAATTCGACACACACACACACACACAAGTACTTGAAATAGATGCAACTTTTATTATACCGATTAATTCAGAAAGTGATTTTTCTAATTTTATCTATCCGTCTGTCCGTCTGTCCGTCTGTCCGTATTGTATTCTCATGTTAAACGTACAGATCGCTAATTTTCGAGATATTTTGATAAAATGCTGTACATTGATGTGTTTTGGGCAAAGAACAAACGCTATTGAGAATGGCTTGAATCGGACCACGTCATCGATCCCCACCCCTATATCACATTTGATTTTGAAAAGTCGATATTTTTCTCTTTTGAGACGATAGATAGCCTGGCAAAAAGGGAGAAACTATTAAATTTTTAGGAACTACAGGTGGTCTTATTGCACCGATTTTCAAAACTTCCGAATTTTTTTGGATGTAATCAAGATTTCAATAGCAGAACGCACAAACACACGCCATCAATTAATTTCATAAGTCTCTTCATCGATGCATATATCCAGGCGTTACAAACACATTTAATACAAAATACAAGTTGATGCACTTTAAAATGTTAAAGCGGTTTATGTGTTGAGCATAATTAGCGTATAAACTGTAAATGATCCCTTTTGTGTTGTTTATACGAAATATTTTATTTAAAAAAAAGGCAAATTAAGATCAACATATAATTTGCAAAAAAAAAGTTGAAGATGTTTATTTAGAAAAAAAGGAACAAATATTACCTTTTCACTTCAATTATGGAACGATCTGTCGACGAATATCGATACTTTTTGAACTTGATTTAGTTAACTATCATACGGAAACCAAGCTTTATCGATATAAATAAAAATGCAAGTCTATTAAATAATGCTTTTGTAGCAAGACATACGGACAGACACTATAGAAATAATATTTCTTTTAATGCTTATCAATAATTTTTTATGCTTAGTCCTTTCACAGATCTCACCACATATATTTACTAAAGGTTTCAAAATGTTTTGCAAATCTTCTATACCTGTAATGTAGCATAGAGCAATAATCAAAAATCTGTAAGTTTCTCGCCAGCAGAATCATCTATCAGTGATAATCACAAATCTCACACCACTATGCTACACTTTAAGATATTGCGATAAATTTTATTTGAGTGACCGAAATTCGAAAGTCAAAAGCATTTGAAAAAAAAATAATAAAAACAAAGGATATACTATATATATAAAGAAATAATATAATAATTCATTTTCGAAAGGAAAACTTGAGACAACGAAATTTTTATTTCGATTCCGTGATAGGAAATTTTGTAAATTGTATCATAAACTTAAGTTAAAATTTTTTGTTAATTCGCGCGATCAAACATTAGCTGTCAACAGCTAAGCAAACTATACCGAAAAACTCTTGCTTGTTGAAAACGCTTCTGTTTTTCTTTTTTCTTTTTTTTTTTTTTTACTCACATTACTAATACGTAAAGTAAAGTAGTTTGCCATGTCATTTATGATATCCAAAAAAAAAAGGAAAAAAAAAAAAAAAACCCACCCTAAAGAGTAACTAACTAACTTATTCATGTTTCTTAATTGAATGTTAGATTTAAAAGGCATCAAGTCGCAAAAAATGCATAAACACACAAATAAATACACTCTTATACATATTTTATTAAAATTAATTATTAATTAATTAATCAGTAAATGTATTCATAATTACAATATTTTGCACATTTCTAGGTATAATTAACTAAACTAAAATCGAACAAGTATTCGAAAATTTCATTAACATTAACAAACATTAGATGAGATGAGATGAGATGATCTCTTGCAAAAAAAAAAAAAAAAAAAAACAAAAAAATTGAAAAATGAAAAATGAAAAAAAACACTTTAAACAATTAAAGAGTAAAGAATTCCCGTTACAACTTCCATGACATTAGGTTATTGAACTCTATATAGATGAAAAAGGAAATCAGTTATCAAATAGTTTTAGCTAAGCAAGCGCAATTGATTTGCTACGACTTTATTAGATAAGTGTTTAAGAAAACAACGATTGTTTTTCGCATAAAATATTTCATGATTATTGTTAAAGTTTCTTCTGTTTTTTTTTTTTTGTTTTTTTTTTTTTTCCCCAAAAACCAAAATACGCGCACATAGTAGTAGTAGCAGTAGTAGTAGTAGTAGTAGTAGTCGTCGTAGTGAACATGCATACAATACAGATATATAAGACAAAAAAAATATCGTAAGAAGAGAAGATAATTTTTCACTTACTTCGAATCCGCTGTACCTCTCATCTACGAAACTAAGAATATAGTTTACAATCTAATTTTAATTCTTAATTATCTGCCGCTAAGAGTTCATCTTTTTTCAATGGAACAAATGAATTCCGAAATCTATATATGATTTGCGTTAATATATTTATATGCGCTAGACTTTTGAGATGATCGGGTCACATTTGTCAACCCGATCCATTTTTGTTTTTTTTTTTTTTTTTGATATACTTAAGTACGCAGAAATATGCATATTTTACGTAAACTTTCCAAAGAAAGTCAATTTCATTGGAATCAATTAAAAAAATGGGGCGTAAATGAGTCGCGCGAAAAAAAAACCCATTGAAAAAAATGAAAAGTGAAGCCTATACCTTCAATTTGTAATTGTATATTTTCAGTAGCAGTTCCCATCTTATACCGGTTATTAATGTGAAGCTAATATGAATAATATTTTAAACGCATGCAATTTTACGCCACGTAAAACTAGTCCCAATGACTTTTACGTTCATCCAATTAACACCTCATTAGCGATTAATATATGAATATATTAAATAACTATGTACGCTACTCATGCATTCAAAGTAAATATTATTAAAATATCGTAACCGATTTTAAGTCCATTTGAATAATAAATTTCTCAAGTTTGTATGTTCTGTACTGAGCTCTTGTCTGCGATCTTGGAATTTTTCTAATTTTTCATTACACGAACTAGAACAATCGATTCAAAATATCTCTGTGTTAAAAAGAGCGTACATACGTATATACGTACGTACGTATTGTACGTAGACGGGTGTAGTCTTTTCTATTTGATTGAGTTCGTGAAAAGAACATAATTTTGCCGCGACATGCGACACATACGCAATACGCAATAACGAATTCAATATACGTTTCGATAAGTAGTTCAGGTAACAATAAGATATTACTACGAGAATTTTGTTTGTTTTTTGCGGCTATAAAATACATCCACTTTAGCGCAATGATCTTCAGTTAAGATTTTAAATTCGCATAAATAAGATGTTTAAAGAACAGGTTCAACGATTTCTTAGCGGCTCATTTGTCGTTACGTTTATTATTCTCAATCTGTTAAACGATGAAATTTTAACGGAAGCCCGGACGTCTAGCAATTTGAAAGTTCAACTTCCCCATGGCGGTATATTAGTCGGCCGCCATTTGAGTACGCATAAGGGTCGACATATGAGGGCTTTCATGGGCATACCCTATGCCCAACCTCCTATCGGGGAATTACGTTTTAAGGTATGCTGTGACAGTGATTTCAATAATTGTCAATATGTAGGAAACAAAAATAAAAAAAATAAAAGAAAACCTAACAGCGTATTTTCCAAGAAAACTGTTTACTCAGAGGTAATCAACCGACACAAATGATTGTTTTTCTATATACGTTACGTTAATACCGGCCGTGCAACGAAAATAACATGTTTTAAAAATAGTTCATAAATTTAATCAATTCATATTGATTCGGTTTAATATCAACTAAAAAAAAAAAAAAAAAAAAACCAGTTCAAGATGCACACCTTTCAATTTTAGCCACCTGTCCCATATGGCTCATGGAAGGGTGAAAAGTTGGTGATAAAAGATTCTTTTAAATGCATACAACGCGACCCGTTTCGTCGCGACCAGGAAGTTGAAGGCAGTGAGGATTGTTTGTATATAAATATTTATACACCAGAGGTAAATGACTGATGCACATACATACTTATATACATGCATACACACACACACACACACACACACATTCATGCATATATGCATACATTTATTATTAAAAATTTTTTTAAAAAGAAAACCAATATCTCTGAACCTCTACCGGTAATGGTATGGTTTCATGGCGGCGGTTGGGAATGCGGTTCTGGCATTAGTAGCTTCTATGGCCCTGACTTTCTTCTTGATTATGATATCATATTGGTATCAGCTAACTTTCGTTTAGGCGCTTTGGGATTTTTGAGTACCGAAACCGTACATTGCCCGGGCAATTACGGCTTAAAAGATCAACAAGAAATTTTAAAATGGATCCAAGTAAATATTCAAGCATTCGGTGGCAACCCGAATAGTGTGACAATATTTGGAGAAAGTGCTGGCGGTGCTAGTGTCACCTATCATATGCTATCATCAAAATCTCAGGGACTCTTCCACAAAGGCATAGCTCAATCGGGTACTTACTTTAATCCTTGGGCTCAGCCCGCTCATAAAGGTGTAGCTGCAAAACGGGCCAACAAAACCGCTCTACTTCTCGGCTGTTATCATAAAAACAGCAATGACTGGCCGGAAATTATAAATTGTTTAAAACAACAATCGGCCTACAATCTAACTGCTATTGTTTATGATCTCTTTGTAAGTAATTTATTCTACTTCTACAAGTCTTTGATTTATAAAAAACATTTATTTACTCTAGGAATGGGATACTGATCCTATGATACCCTTTCCACCGGTTATTGAGCCAGATCATGCGGAAGCATTTCTTACCGTTCATCCTAGAAATCAATTGCAACCCCATGGCCTAGCCTTGCCTTTGATGATTGGCGCCACTTCGGAAGAAGGCCTTTTAAAAACTGCTGCCTTGTTAAATTTACCCGAAATTCTTTACGAATTTAAAACTAAATTTGAACAAATTTTGCCCATAATACTTTATTATGATCATTTACCCGAGAAAGATCAACACGATATAACTGAAAAATTGAAATATTTTTATCTGAAAGATGGCCATAATTATGATAAACATAATTATCAAAATATTACGGATGTAAGTGTAAACCCAACAATCGGGCAAAAAGAGTTTGTTCCTTACGTAATTCAAACTTGACATACGCTCTGAAAAAGAATTCAATTCGATATGAAAAAAAATATTTGATGTACTATTTATATGCAGCTAATATCTGATGGATGGTTTTTGGCCGGCATCGATGAATACATACGTTTGCGCATGAGTAACTTGCTTACACAAGCCCATAATAATGCCGGCCCAACTTATGTATATATGTTTGAGCATAAAGGATCCGCCAGTTTCTCTGAATTGTTTCATGGCGGCAGAGAAGATTACTACGGTAATTGTAGAAAAAAAAATAATAATAATAATAAAAATAACTAAGTAAATAAAAGCAGACTTAAGTAAATGCATTTTTTTTTTTTTTTTAGGGGCTTGCCATGCCGAAGAATTGCAATATTTGTTTCCAATTGCACGAGAATTATTTGTAAGTGCCGCACCAACAAATAGCGATTTGAAATTACGCGATCTTATGCTACAATTGTGGACTAATTTTGCCTGGAATAGGTTCGTATAAAACTTTGTGTGTATGTGTGTGTGTCAAATTAAATCGAATTTTGTTCGCATACATTATTAGGTAGCTTTACGCGAATATATCGAATTGACAATGGCAATTACAACTGCTACGGCATCACTATTTCATCAGTTATAATCGCCTTAGATATTCTGTAAATTTGTAAATAGAATCCCTATTACCATGATATTCGAAATTTCATTGCTTGAGTTAAAATCCAGAATATTTCAGCTGATTCAGTGTTTTGCGAACTAATTTTGCTAATCGTCATAAATCGATTACGAATATACTTACGCCTATTGAAAATCTTGAGCAAGACTTGACAGCTAACGCCAATATAAAGTTTGCAATGTCAAAATATTTCTTTTTTTGGCCTAATAGATTGTTTGAACTTTTTAGAATATGAGAGAAAAAATTAATTACGTAAAATGAACTTTTTCGTCGAAATTTCGAGCTCTTTCTCAAACGTTCTAACAAGAACGCCCGGCTAAAAGAGATTTACTGCCAGAAAGTTGCAACTTAATATCTTACCCGTTGATTTCTAACTCATCCTACACCCTAACAGATGTCTTTAGAAAGTATGATCACGCATATATATATATATATATATATAAATATATATAGACCATTTAAAAATATTTGCAAATAAAATTCCGTTAGCGTTGCTTCATTGAGACGATCGCTAAAGTGACGTAAGATTGAGAGCGATTTGAAATCTTTCGACGAATTCGACACTTTCTTAACGTTTTCTTATGGCATCGATGTATTCAGCAAGAAAGACAGTTTCTAGCAAGGAAGAAGGACAATGAAAAGAAATATTTTCATATAGCAGGGGACGTCTTCACAATCATGGGGATTACGCACTAACGAAAGAAAGAAAGAAAAATAATAAGCAATTTGTTACAAAAACAAAAGCCACGGCCATAATATATTTTAAAATGTTGAACGCACTTTTCAGAAAGGCCTGCAACAACATACATAAATGCAACAATTTTCATTTGTTTATTTATCATTTTTTACAACGCTTTTAAAAGTGCATTCCGAGAAGCGATATGAACGAAAAATGCTCGCTACATTAATTTCAACATATTTTATTAATAAAAAGATTGTCATTAATGAAAATTTTCCATTCAAATACGCGCCCACCGTACTTCTCTAGCTATAGGCATACAAATGAAAGGATTTGTTAAAATTTTTTAAAATTCAATTTCGCATCACTTACACTGCCTGCCTTTAGCTTAAAGATGATACTGATTGCAAGAGTTACATCCTCCTTGAAGCATTAGCATTCTATTAATTTGACCTGCATTTCAATAACAACTGTTAGGCATACACTTGTTTTTGGTCCGTGACAGTAACATCACTAACATTAAAAAAAAAAAAAAAAATTAAATAATTTGAATATTGATAAATATTAATATTAGTGCATAAATAATTTCAAATGTTGGCAAAAATCTATCTTATAGTATTCAAGTAATTGCCTCATCTTACTGATTGCTTGTAAATCGAGGCAAATGTTGCAATAAATTCACTTGTCTTGCATGCTATTTTTTTAATATTTTTTAAATTCAATCCTAGTAAAACTCATACCGACTTGTTTTTCCTTAACAAAACCCTCAGGCTGCTTAACGACTATGAATATTGTGATTAAAACATTTTACATGCCATTAGTTCCTGCATTACAATACAACCCAACCATTAATAGATGGAATCAATCAATCTCTGTCTACTTCACCTAACAACAATCACATAATTTGTTGAAAGTATGCTTCAAATTTTTATGCAAATAAAAAAACAAAGAGAATCTATTCGCCTGACAGATATTTTAAATCTGATCTGTTAATATATATATATATGTATATATATATATCTGTTTAACAAAACGTTTTCTTTTTTCTACAGTAACGAAGCATTTCAATAATTTGCTTGAATCTGATTTTTTTTTTTTTTTTTTAATTTTTAATATACAGTAACCCCACGCCCGATAATTTCCAAGCCGATGACAAATGGTTACCAAGTAAAGTATATCCGGTGTATTATGCAAAAATTGGCAACAAGGATTCTGATAATTCAGATGCTCTTCTATTTGACTACAATACTAATATGTATAAGGAGCGTTTAGACTTTTGGCATCAACTTAAACCTCATGTTCGCTCACAAGAATTTCATCACGATGAGTTATGAAAATAAAACATAAGTATTTCTTTTGAATTTATTTATAATCTTTTTTTTTTTTTTTTTTTTTTTTTGTATGTTTTGTATTGTTTTTTTTCTTTTTTTTTTTTGTTACTTTTTTTTTTTTTTTTTTTTTTTTTTTTTTATTTTTCTTTTTTGAAATAAAGTTAAGGTTTATTTTTTACTTTTATACAACATTTTATCTTTTTATTTGTATGAAGTAGCAACTGTTTTACTTATCTAAAATCTTTTGTGTCTTATTAGTTTTACGATATAACTTCTAGGTCTGCATTTATTTACTTTACTACTACATGTTATTGTTTTAAAACACAGACGACGAATACGAGAAAAGAGAATGCTTTACTCTCATGATAGTCAGAAATTTTATAAAACACAGCCGTTTAGTTTTCGCATGCGAGAATAAAGTTTGCAGCAAATTTTCAAACCCCCATTAATCTTCACATTCTGCTTATAATTTAGGAAATATTTGTATCGGTGTAGTAACGTTACGAGAAACCGCACTCATTCTTACTATCACTTTTTTTTTTTAGACGCACGACCTAAGAGAGCGAGTACATTTTTTTTTTTCTACTACTTTTGTAATGCAACAGGAAAAAAGACCTTTCTTCTACGAAAATGCGATATTCTAAATTGACGTCTGGGTATGCAAGTTTATCGCCCGGTTTATCGTTTACCATTGAAACTCTGTATAGAAAAATGTAACTTTTGGTCCACATACTTTGTATTAATTCGACATATCATATGATATTTAAATGCAGTCGTTTCTTAAGCATATGGCATATTCGCAATAGATGGATACCCAAAGTCAATTTAAAATGAAAAAAAAAAAATAAATAAATAAATAAGTAAATGAAAAAACGAAGGAGAAAAGGCGCCGCACTTAATTACGTCTTCATATTGTAGTAGAGAGTTATTATTGCTTTCACAAGACTTTCTCTTCTCTCTGTCTCTCTCCCTCTCACTCTCCCTTAGATTTTTTTTATTTTTATTTTTTAGAATTTCTCCTTAGCTACTACTGGTTGGTTCCCTTGCTTTAATGTCTTCCAGTTACTTTTTCCGCATATGGGTTTCTTGTTATTGCTACATTATTTATTATTCATTAATTTTTATAGTCAACAAGTACATATGCATACATCCATATACATATGAATACATACATATATATATATATATATATGTATATGTATATATTATAATTTATATTTCACTTTTAAAGAAAAAATAAAACTTTATTATTATTTCATTTGTTTTTCTTAAAGAAATTACAAGTGTGTAGATATTTAACATCGTCGTAAATTATTAAGTTGTTCGAAAACTTGAACCCTTGACAAAAAAAAAAAAAAAAAAAAAAAAAAAAGAAGCAATAAAAACAATGCTCTTTAAGGAGAGAAGTAAAAGTAAAGAAAAATCTAAATGAATATATTAAATAAATAAATGAAATAAATAACAAATATGTAATAAATAAATTAAGCAATTGTTAACAAATTATTTAATAGGTATGAGTCTGTTTTTAGGTGCAAGTGTATTTGTATGCATTAACTACTAATATAAAAATTTTATAACAATTATTATTTAAACAAATTAAATAAATTAACAAAACAAAATATTGCATTTAATAATGTACATAAGTATGTCTCTGTATAACGTTATTTGCAGCTAATTATGTAAAAGTAACCAAAATTACTAATAAATATTAAACAAGAAAATGGTTACTTTCAGCTTAAGCCGAATTTTATATGCAATACCCACCATACTTTTTTTTTTTACTTAAAGAGAAACTTTTACATATAAAAAAAAGAAAAAAAATTACAAAAATAAACTATTGACGCGAAAAATTTTTAAAATAATATATATATATATATATATAGGCTTGAAGTCGAAACGATTTACATATATATAGTAACATTTTCATTTGCATCAAGCATTCACTGTTGAGTCACTGTTTCGAGAAAAAGTTGAAAGCGATTAAGTAAAATGAAATTTAAAGCCTTAAACGGTAACTCTAGAGTAATAAATGGCTTTTCGGACAATGTGAAAATTGCGTGTAAAGAAAAGTAAAAGAAGGTAAAGGAAATTTTTTTTTTTTTTTTTTTTTTGATGAGTTATAAATTTTTTTTTTAATTGACAGGCGGTTAGGTAAATTTTGTGAAAATATCTTAATCGCTTGTTTTCCGATTTAGTTAATAGGTTCGTAAAAATACTAAAAAAAAAAAAAAAAACAAAAAAGGAAACACACAGTTTGTGTTTATATCGAAATTTTCCTAATTATGTTTCTAATTACGTTATTTTTAAGGTGTTATGTTGTCATACCAGATAATAGTTATAATAAAATGTTTATTAGAAGTCTGTACCTGGGCTTACGGGAGATGATATTTCAAATCACAACAAGACGTCTCACGTCATATGTTCTCTTCACATAGGCCAACGGTTAGACAATTAAAAATTTTTTGACTGATCGAAACAAAACAAAAATTATTGATTTCGAACTGAATTGGAATAATAGAATCTTACGGTCGCATAAAAAATATGACAAATATATATCCCTTATGAAAACGTTTAGACTACAGTTTCCAAGTCAAGCCTATGTGTGTTTCTCTGTATGCAAATTGAGTATAGTTCACATTGTTATTGTATTAGGTCCTAAATCAGCATCAAAGCAATAGATTTTAAACTACGGATAATTTCTCTTCTTATTTGTCTAGCATTTCATCTTAACATTTCTTTAGTTTAGTTAGTTAGGTATTTTTTGCATTTGTTCTAAATTGAAAAACGGAAAGCAAACCGTTTTTTATCAGTTCCATACGTTAACAGTTAATAATTTTTCTTGTTCTTACTAATATAGGTAAAATTTTTGTTTCCAACTCAATATTTTTCAAAATTTTTACATTTGAAATTTACCCGTAAATTGATCGCTAGCGCTTTTACATTTTTTTATAAAATCAATGAAAAAAAAAAAAAAAAAAAATTCATTAAGAATGAATTTTAACTATAAACCGACTAGCATTTCACTTACTTAGCTTAAAAATTTTACAAGATGATCTAAAAATCTTTTTAAAATAATTTTTCCTAAATGAAGCGTATAAAGATAGTACAGATTATAAAAAATAACACTTTCTAATGCACAGCAACTTGAAATTGTATGAGAACGATTTGTCTCCTTTAGCAAATGAGAACAAGAGAAAATCTTTACCTTCGTTTTTAATGTTTTACAAAAAAAAAAAAAAAGAAAAAAAAAAAGCCTTAAATATTCATAAATGAAATCTTTTATGAAACTCCTAACGTTATTATCCATATTAAAATTTGCGAGCCATAAAATATTAGACTATACGAAATATATTATCCTTAATACCAATTTAAATATTTTTCTTTTTTTCTCTTTCTCTCTCTCTCTCTCTCTTTCTCTTTCTCTTTCTCTTTCTCATTGTCTCTCTCTCTCTCTCTCTCTCTCTCTTTGATTGTTGTAGCATAATTACATTACAAAGCATCTTTCGCACACAACCTGCTTAGATGCTTAGAAATTAAAGCGGATACCTTTTACAAAAATATGTTTAAAAAAAAGAAGAAAAACAATACAGTTAGTTAATAGACTCACACACAAAGAGAAATAGATTACATTCAAACTATTGCATTTAAATATAGTTAAAGAGATTTAAGAGAGAATTTGGGATTTTTTTTTTTTTTTTTTTTTTGAGTTTGACGATAAAAAAAATCTTTAGAAAGAAAGCGGCCTCAATAATGTCGTTATTGTTATGTTATTGTTATATCCAAAGTTGATTTTCTTTACTGTGATCCACTGGTTGCATTTTTTTGTTTGGTTTTTTTTTTTTTTTTTTTGTTTTTTTTTTTTGTGTTTGCTTCGATTTTTGTTTCACTGCTACTTCTATCCAAGCAATTCCTTGCACAACATTCCATCGTAAAAACAACGTTCGTTTTTCTCTTTTTACGTTGGTTTTTTCAATTGTAAGTTCAGTATAGTTAGTTAGTTATGGCGTTAGTAAAATAGACGGTATTTACGCACGTTCGTAGAACAAAATGTAGGCACTAGATGAGACAAGATGATGTTCAGACAGGGCATCGCTAACTCTATAAATAAAAGGAAATTAATAAAAATTATTGTTCGTCATCATTATTCCATTATCGGGATAATTTCTTACAGGTTATCGTTGAACTCATGCCATTTTTGGGTAAATGGATGCTTACATATGGCCACGTAATGGCCACCAGCTGTTGAGCCTAAAATGATAGAAAGCTAAATTAAATACAAATTTCTAAAAAAAATATTTGCAATTGTGTACCCATATGATTTGATATAGCGTACAGCGAGTAGTACATATTTGAATTAGTATTTGCTGCATAAGGTGCCATATTCAATTCGCGTTCACCCGTCGGAAATTCGACTATGTTCGATAGTTTGCTCCAACGTGTCTCAGAGAAACGTTTCAGATCTACGGATGGAAGCAAACACAGTCTATGAAACAAAAAAGATATGCAAAATTATTGTCAACAAGCGGAAAGCTTACGTATCACCAAATATTTGGGGAACCGTTGAATAGTAAAAGTTTTCGTGCATTTTCGACGTGTTTGACATTTGGAACATGTAGGCATTTCGTCGCCGTCTAATACCTCCTCACGTATAAATAAATCTAAGCAAGCTTCCAATTTACAACGGGACGAAGAAGGTAATGGCACACTAAGATCCCAGAAAGGATCAAAAGTCACACTGGCATTACCGCAAACGGTACATCGCAGCGTGCTCTTTAATTGGCCCACAAATAAATCTCGTATAATTGAACATTCGTGACGACAGTACCACTCCCATGTTTGCTCGGCCTTCCTATTATCACTGAAAGCGACATTTTTAGTAGCCCATGAAATTGTTATAGATTTTTTTTTTTTGCCTTTCAAACTAACCTGAGATTGTCATCAACTCTCAAGTGTTCACCTTTGTTGCCAGTATTGAGAGCACTGTGCAACGAATCCAAAAAGAAGCGCAAAAACTCTTGAGCGTCTTGCTGATTATAATCGCTATACATGCGATGCTTACTCGAGAAGGCCCTTTTTAATTCTAACGGTGTAACGCTGTGAGTATTCGGTGACCACATTTCTCTAATCAGCTTTGAAAACTCTTAACGATTAATAATGGAAATCGAAAATAAATATATGATGAAATTATTTTTATTTATTTATATATATATATATTCGCGTACTTACCATATAAAATTTGCTGATCTTTCGATATAGGCGATTTGGTGGCACTATAATTCCTTAAGAATTTCGTCAGCTCATTTGTGTGACTTAGACACTGTATGACGGAGTTCATAAAACATGTGTTTCCAATATTCCTCAGACCACACAGACCTGATAAATGATGGTAATGGAAATGCAACGAGCACGATTAAGAAAAATAAAAATTATCATGAATATTATGAATATTAATGAATATGCGAAACGTACCACTATTAGATCTATAAACCATTCAGAATAAAACATTAATTTCAAAATCATAAAACAACAACAACAAAATATTTTCCTGTTATTATGTATTGAAATGGCACAAGAGATTTTATTTTTAAATTAACAAAAAAAAAAAAAATTAATAAATAAATAAATAGATAAGACGCCTACACCCATAGACAACTACGCGAAAAATCTTGAAATATTGAAAAACATTAATGAAATGATAACGGATATGGCCCGGCAATGTTAAAAACGTTTTTCCGTTTTTCAAATACAAGGTGACTTATATTCGAAATTTTACATTGATTCTCATAAAATATTTTTAAAAAATAAGTGAAAAATATATTATGAGTGGCAACTCAAAAAAAAAAAAAAACAAATCACACCTTACATAAGAAACTGAATACATTTCTGATCTATAGATCAGACGTAACAAAATCTCGTTGAGCGCATCACAAAAAATGATAATTTTTTTGTTGATTTTTTATCGAATGAAAATCTCAATCCCGGTAAACGATAATATTTAGTTGTTGTTTAGAGGAGAGATGGTACATACCTTCAGTATCTTCACTGCTAAATGATAATTTTCTTTCGTCCGCATGACTCCGAGTAGTGGAAATTGATGGTCTGGAACTATCTCTTTCCCAATAGCGAGACACGGGCGAAGCTGTCGTATGTACTGTATTTCGTATCTAAATTTTAAAGGAATAGAACAGTTATAAAAGCAATTATGAATGAAAAGTCACCAATGATCTCATTAGAGCATGAATTAGGAGAAAATTAAAAAAGAGAATCTTAAAAATACGCTTTGTTCAGTAGAAAGAACGCAACAATGTAAGCGAAAGCAGTTAGTGTAGAAAAAAAAGAGACAGATCAGCTAAGAAGATACGAACAGGGAATACTTTAGCAAACACAAAAAAAAAAAAAAAAAAAAAAATCATACCAACGAGGATTTTTAAAAAAAAAAAAAATTTACCCCAAAAAAAAAAAAAAAAAAAAAAAAAAAAAAAAACTAAACCTGTCTCGACATGCAAATAAAACAAAACAAAAAAAAAAAACACATAAAACAAATCACTGCTAACGAATGTGTATTCGCCCACCGAGCGAGCATTCCGAAGCTAAACGTCTCTTCGATCGTAAGCGATAACGAAAAACTTCCTCTCTCAATAATCTAATATAAAAAAAATAAAAAAAAAATAAAAAAAAAAAATAAAAACTCCGGAAAAGAGTCTTTACTCGCTAACGCTAAATTAAGGCTCATAAATATGTAAATGAATGAGAGTTAGGATACTGGAAATTGAATCGGGGATAAGTGTGTGCGCGATTTACAAAAGTAAATTAGAAAAATGTTGTGCTCGTGTAACTTCGTATACGTGTGGGTTGCTCGAATAAATCCTTTGAAATGCGATTCAGTTGACGCATTTGAAAAGTTTTTTCTGGCAACTATTACGGTATCCAGTGGTTCGATTTCGGCTTGTTTCAAAAGTAAAACTTACACTATCCTCCCCACCGGATGTGGCGGTCAATTTCTTTTTACCAAAATCGCCGTCCACCGAGCTTGAAAGACCAGATACGGAAGGCTCGTCGGCATGATTATAATGACGACTATTCTTTAACGGTAAACTACCGGTGGTATTGGGATGAGTGCCAATAACTTGTCGAGTCGTCGAAGTAGATGCTGCAGTGTTCGAGTACAAATTGGTTTTGCCAGCAACACCAGCTGAACTTCGATAAGGAGCACGCGTTAACGAACCACCTCCACTATTGGGCAGCCTTAAGTTGCTGTTATCGAAATCACTACTATGGCGATGATGCTGCAGGTTATTGGTGCTGCCCCCGCCACCATGAGAACGCAGTTGCACCGAATTTAGTGGCAATCTCTTTTGTTCGCTATAATTGTCAAATTTTTCAATGGACGCGCGAATACTATTCGAATCAATAAACATTGCAGTCGGATGGCGGCATTCCGATCGCTTCTCTCCACCCGCCGTACCATTAGAATATTTATAATTATTCACTTTTTCGAAAATGGAATTATTTGCCGCCGTTGTTGCCGCCGCTGATGCCGAACTCGATGCTGAACTTATAATCGTTGATTTTGGTCGTACGCGATTTTTAACTGCAGCTATACCGTGCGAATGCGCAGCGCAGCATCGTGTTTCACAGGTAACTTGAGATTTGCGTTCCATTGCTGTGGTTGTTGGTTGCTCATCGCTATCAATAAATTTAATATCGTCTTGATCTAGTGATGTTTGCATATTGTTATTGCCGTGATTATTAGAAATGCTATTTAAGCTAGTGTTGCTACCGTTATTGTTATTATTGCGGCGTTGCGATATCGATGACGGTGTTCCACCGCTAGATGTAACACTAGCCCCGCTGCGATGTATTAAAGGCTTCACTTGTGAATTACGATTAGTTAGTTTCGTTGTACCGTACGTAGAATTGCTAAGATGGTACCCGCCCGAGTTTAACTTCTTCGAAGATGCCGTTGTAATTGCGGTACCAGCGATGGTTGCAGCTGTGGATGTTGCTGTACCACTCGTAAAACCTTTACATTGAGATCCAATACAATTATTATCCACCTTGCCAAGAGACGTTGCAATCGCTGTGGCTGTGCCCAATTGACTGCCATTACTGCTGCGGCGCATCCCATTTATTGCTAACGCAGCTAAGGCTGCTGAGGATTTCGTCTGCGATTAATAAGTTTAACAATACGATGAAAAACGATTTAAACGCTTAGCTTCACGAATTGAAGCAAATTTTCAAGCTCTTCTTCTAGCAATTGTGAACACATTTGTATAGCCTAAGCTATTTATTATATTAAATAAATTCTATATACGGGATATATACATATATATGTACACGGATATAATTCGAATTATTTACAATCAGTATAATGATTATTTAAAATTTATTATTATGAATGAATAAATATCTACTTTAAAGGCTCTTTTTGATTAACCTAGATTTTAACGGGCGATTCGGAGACTCGCTGTTATCTCTAAACTTGGATGGAAAACGTTTTGCTTTTCTTTGCTTTTCTTTGCTTTTCTATTTTTTTTTTTTTTTTTTTTTTTTTTTTTCTTTTAGTAACAAAAGTTAAGAAATCAGCTCCGCTGAGCTATTATGAGAGTGATAGCAGCTTGAAAATTTACCCCATTCATTCATTCAGACACAATTACTTATCTTACCGAGTTACGGTAGTTATTATTTGAAAGGCTGCTGATCAGAGTGTTCGTCTTGCGGCTTTCAACTGAAGGTAATGTCGGTTTTTTTGTAGTAGCTTTCGAGACCTGAGCATGGGCCAATTCGCACTCTTCTTTAAGAAAATTTTGATCTTTGAAGGTCGATATTAAGAAAAAATGTTGATTAGCTTCTCTAACGGGATTCGTAATAGATTTATTTGCAGCTCCTGTTCCTGTTACTTTTGTTGTTCTTATCGTTTGTTTAACTTTTGATGACACTGTCGCTGGTTTTATATTTAATGCGGATTTTGTAGCATTAGTTTGAGGTCGTACTACAATGACGGGATCACATTTTTGCTTCAGTGATGGAAATTTTTGGAAATTATTTCTAGTTTTTTTAACGTCTATCATTATTTAATTTTTTTTGTTTTTTTTTTTTTTTTAAATTTTTATTATCTTTTTTTTTCTTTATTTATTATTAAGACTTTCTGGAAAGCAGTCTATTATACACTTTTCATTAATTTTTATTTTATTCGTTTTCTTTTATTGTTGTTTCTCGAATACAAGTGTTGCTGCGATACTTTATTGTGGTTATGTTGGCTGTTTTATTTAAATCACTAGGATACAATTATCCTTTGCCGATGCCGTTGCCGTTGCCGATGCCGGTGCTTGTATATGCGTGCATTACTATGCACACTTCAACATTTTACGCGGTCTTTGACGGGTGCAATAACAGATTTAGACAATTGTCTTATGCATATTTTATAGTTGTAATCTCTAAAGGCTTTGCTTTAAATTATAACACATACACATAATAACTCACAACAAACCTTAATGAGCTGACGTGCGATTCTTGAACATGCGTTCGCTATAGTGTAGTATCTGGAAGAGATTAACTGGAAAAGGAAAACACTGTTAGCAAATGGAAATGATGGAATGTACGCATAGAGGCAAGTATGTATGGGTTAGAGATGAAAAGTTTTAAATTTTTGCAAATGAGTAAGTAAATCCGCATGTAAATGTATTTCACATTGAAACTATTCACACCATTCTGTTATCCTAATTCTGCAATTATTTTATTATCTTCCTATAGCGATAAAATTTCCTTAAAAATGATTAATTAAATCTTAAGAAAGAAGAGAGAAAGACAGAAAACGCGTGCCAAGCCACAGACACACACACACACACACACACGCAAAGTGAATATACAATATCAAAATATTTAAGTCAAAGGGTGAATATGTATATAGGTAATATCGGATTAAATTCGAATTAATGGTGTTAGTAAGCCAGCTCGAGACATTTTTCACTTTTGGGTTTTCATTTTTAAATAAATTCTGCCGAGAGAACTATGTGTTACCTTTGCGTTATCGTTTACATCCTCTTTGGTGGAATCAGCATTGTTCCACTTGATGTCCACATTCTCACCGGTGTCGTACATGCTACCACCGCTATCTGTCAGTTTATTATTACCTTGCGTTTGATTGGTATCTGGCGTCTCACCCTGATTGCTATTAAGCTTCAACTTATTCAATTTCACATACGGTACGGCAGCGTCCAATCCATTACTATCATTCTCATGATCCTGAATTGTACCGTTTTTCCAAATTTTTTTATCTTCTTCATGACCCTTTGTTTTCCGCAAACGTGTTCCATGCAGGGTTACAGTGGCTGTAGGTACGTCTTCCGCCGAATTTGTTATACTTAAACGTCCCGATATACGTGATCCGCTTCCTGATCTATTGTGTGCGGTTCCTATATTATCGACTTCATCAACGTTTTTTTGTTGACTATATAAACGACTATAACGGCTACGTGGTCGCTCATATGCAACATCTGAGGTAGTTGATCGCCTGTCGTCACTATCAGTTGCGGCAGCCTCACTGAGACCCGATGATCTAGAACCAGATAGTTCAGTATTGGGTTTATAGTGTGCTGGACTATATTTTTCATAAATGTCCAGAGCAGAGGTGGCAACTAAACGGGCCAGGGATGACGATGAACATGAACCTGGCGTACGTTTCGACTGGCTGCCACTCCCTTCTGAACCAGAAGGTGGTTTCTTCGCTCCCACATCCTGACCAATGCTGTCTTTTCGCAATGTATGCGAATCTTTTGAACGTTTGTTCACCTTCGGTCATCATCATGAACATCGCATGGCAATTTAAATGGAGTCATTTACATGTTGATGATATATATCGCATTGTTGTTTTGTGAATATTGTGTGCGTGTGTATGCAGATCATGTATACAAAAACAACATTTACACAATGCAACCCGGAAAAGCATAACGACAACAGTCACAAATACAAAATACCACGAAGTGAACGAGTAGACGATCGATCAGTCATATAGAATTTCGTGTTGAATATGATCGCGATTACGTGCAGATAAAATAGTAGAAATTGAACGCATTGCATGGCCACAAAATCAGGTGATTTTCCAAGTAAAAGAAATAACGTATTTAAAAGTTTACAAAAAATGTAAAATATATGTGGGGTCCTAGCCTATCAATGTGTAACCTCGCAAAATATTACACTTTATCATAAGATGATAAGATAATTTCAAAACTGCTTTTCAATATTAAAAAACAATATTTTTCTTGCGCGATCGTTTTTTGTAAAAGAATAAAAAGCAAAATCTTAAGGATATATATTCAAAAAATCATGTTTTTAAAGGTCATTGTCTTTGGGATTGAGGCTTTAAATAGATGTATTAATAGTAACAACATATTTTATATTCTATCTATGGAGGCCTTCTTGGTTATTTACCAGACATTCAAAACTATGAAAGTATTTTTAGCAGGATCAGCTTTCATTCTGGAAAAATGCCCTGTGTGGATATAAATCGGTATGCGGGTGAAATGCATGATTACTTGGTACATTAGCCGAACATATCAAATGCTTTTTTCAACTAATGATTTAGCATTTAGATGGTACAATAATGGATCATTGCATACGTTTGGAAAATTTTAGAACTCGAAAAAAAAAAAATAAAATAAAATTTCTCAGGTAGATAACTTTTCCGCTCCAGAAATAAATGAATGTAATCAATCTCGTTTAAAAATAATAAATTATACTCACTCCACATGAATTTGTATCATAGTTGTTTAACGATGAGCTTGTACTGCGATAAGTACCAATGCCGGAGGAACCACCAGTTAAGCTTGAACCGGTACTTCGATAAGTTGAATATGAACGAGGTGAATACGATGAATAAGAGCTGCCACTCAAATAGCTACTGTAACTTGGACTGTAAGACGATGAAGTTGATGTGGATACTGAATATTTTGATAGACTACCGGCGCGATCCAAATACGATTTGTAGCCGCTAGTCCGTTCTGAAGTCGTTGAGGAAGATGGTGACGCAGAGGTAACGCTCGAGCCACCAGTCGTCGACGATGACGTGCCGTAGATGCTGCCACTGGCCAATATTAACGATCTGCGTGGCGAAGTTACCGGCATATTAAAATCGTCGACTTGATTTTATCGTCAATTCTAAATACGCTGGGGCAGCGTATCGTGTACCAAGCCAATGATATGTATACAATATTTCCGATAATTTCTGCTTATGAAAAATAAAACTATTTCGATACTTTACACGTTCAAAATTGGTATTAGTTTCAAGATATCTGCGAATAAAAATCAATATTGAAATTTTATTTTTCTAGTATTTTCAATTAACGGGGGATCCACTTACCTTTCATGTGGACGATTGAAAAAGAAGACTTCAAAACACACCCTTACATATTTGTAGTTATTTCAAGCGCTATTTCAAGAGTTTAATCTAAAAGAGTAAATGATGAAATTACATAAATAATTGCTTTAATGGCTTTTACCACATAATATTTACATATACTGGGTATTTGAATTAATTGCTAATTGATATCAAATTGTTCGCGCTGACAACAAAATGAATGCATTAAAACGACTTTAAGCCCAAAAACATTAATTGTAAGCCGGTCCGTCCAGCTTATCCAGTCTACCAAAATGTGCAAAAATATTTGATGGCAGCAAGTATCGAAAACGAAAAATCTATTATAACAAAACAGAACGAATCGATGTAATATGAGGGTCTATCACATCCGTCGAATTCGCCAAGTATCACCTTCTCTGATTACCATTGATTTTAATCGGGCTAGGACAACCTGACCTGTTTCGAATTTTTGGGAGATACTAAGAAATAGATCGATTTTCAATCATACACACACACACACACACAAGCACACATAAACCATACACTTGTTGCGCGACAGATGATTTAAATGATATAGTTTGAATAGGTAATCTTTATAATATATATAGAACAAATAAGAACGGCGGGAAACAATCCACCTATTCAATGATCTCTATACTATATGATGAAATAGTGAACCGCGTAATTTTTAATGAATTTACTCATATGGAAGATAACTACGTTAATGAAGTAGTGTAATCTTAGTCTTAATTGTGAGAGCTCAGTTAAATATACGTAAAGCTTTCTTTTACAACTCTTTAAGAACAGTTAGTAAGTAAATAAATTCAATTCTTTTGTTATGACAGTCAATGCAATCAGTTAAATAAGCCAATTAGCTTAACTACACGCATCGTACAATATTTATGAAAAATTTCTCTCTCTCTCTCTCTCTCTTTATGGCGCTCTATTCTCTTTCTCTTTTAAAGACTATTTCGTTTGATTAATGGTAATCAGTGTTTGAATTATGTTTAGGTGAAAAGCCCATAATAAATAAAAGTAATTATATTTGTTATTAGATTAAAAGTTGTAAAGTAATTACAAGTCGAGTCTGTTTATATCGAAACATATTTCTTGAACGTTCAGTACGTGATAAAATGTAAAACAAAAAAAAAAGATATGTTTTGGATGATTTTAAACACGGCACAAAACCACTGGGATATACATGAATGGGCACTGCACGCAAGTTATACAATGCAACACTTTACTGACTGATACTTTCGTTGTCATACGCCACATGATTTCATTAATTAGCATCAACGGTACGTAGTAAAAACTTTATATATGCATCTATGTATATCGTTTCATATCTATATCTTATACACATATATTTTATCTATTCATTCTTTCACACGGTCATATACACACATATATGTTAATGAATTTATTTTTGAAACTTTTATCACTGATTTTGTCTTTGCTACACATTATTGCTATTGCTATTGTTTTTGCTGCTGTTTTGGTTATCGTTATTCTGTGTTATTTTGAAAATGAAATGAATCAATTCATATCATAAAGAAAAAAAAGAAAGGCATCTATTTTTAAAGCAAGCAACAAACCATGAATTACGCAAAGCAGGAAATATTTTTTCAAAATGGAAAGTATATAGAGAAAGGTGTGTTGGTCGCATCATCATAGTTTTGATGAAAATGAGCATAATAGGCACTCCCAATCAATCAGGTAACTGCTTGTAGTGCCAAACCAATGCTATAATTATGTTATGCCTCTTAAAAAAGTGAATTTGTTAGGCGGAGTGGGCACCGATAATGGGATGACAGGTATTTGTGTGTTGGTTGTATAGTTGATTGACTACTTGCTTCATATTCATTGTATTGGTTGCGATAGCAATACATAAATATCTATAAAAATAATTACGATGGCTTTAATAAAACGAAATAATGAGCTTTCGCGTTGTTGAGAATCTCAAAAAAGAAAAAATGTAGTGTAATGGTAATATGTATAGTCGAGGTCGTACTGTCTACACAGTGACTATTTAACTATTTTTGGCAAATTTTTATAAAAATTTTCACTTATTTTACATTCGATTCATTTAAAAACTTGTAAGAATTATGGTCACGTTTCGCACTTACATATTTTTCAATAAATTTTTAATAAAATTCGTTAACTTTTCCTAGTTTATTTTTAGCAATGAAAATTCTGCGGACATTCTTCGCTTCGCGTAGTAATCGTAATAAGTTAGTGAAAACGACTAACGGTTACTTCCCATTTTGACATCGAGCTTTTGCTTTAAGATGCCACCGTTTCAAAAAACCAATAATGTGTTTGTCATTTTTTTTTTTTAAAGTATTGTTGCAACTATACCGTTACAAGTATGAGTGGAGAAATTCTTGAAATTTTTTTTAAATAAAAAAATTTTAGTTTTCCTTTAATCCACCTGAGTGGCCAAGTAGACAAGAGTCTTTACTAGCAAACTCAATGGTCGTGGGTTCAAATCCCAAGTGCGGTAGAGTTTTTAATAAAGCTGAAAGCCTTAGATGCTATTGAATAAAGACTTTAGTCTTAGAATTTATTCTCTGGCTAAATTTATAATAATAATAATAATAATATTTTTCATTACTGTTATTACAGTTTATTCATAACAACGAAACATGCCTATTAATTAAAGCAAAATGAGCGCTAGCAGCTAAGACTGCAGGCTCTGTTAAAAAAAAAACTCGTTTATTTTATTGATGTTAAATTCTGTAGATTCTTTCAAGACATCCATAAGGTTAGTCGTACCGAATACGAGTTCTCGAAATGTGGAGAGGATTTATCAATATTTTTTCAATATACCCTTTCAGATCCATATTTTTCATGGTGCCGTCCATAACTAATAATGCAGAAGCTGCATGTTTAGCTGCTGTGTCAGCCATTCTTATTTTCCAAGAAAATAATATGAATGGGTAGTCAAGAAATTTTAATATTACGTTCTTTGTTACCAGTATCTGTATCTTAAGTGTTTTCAGTTTGGTTTTCTGAGCAAGCTTCGTGGGCAGAAAAATAACCCAATCGTCAGTTGTAAATGTTGAAGCACTTTCGTATAGAATATGAATAACGTAAGCTTGCCGTGTAGCATCTACTTCGGCGTAGACAAGGAACAAATCCCCGCTTTTAGAGCGATCTGGAAACGAAAGATGTTAACCATTATTTTTCAAAATGCGAGATCTCTCTGCGACGGTTGTGTATGCTGCTGCAACTCAAATATCGCCAGAATTAAAATTTTAGATTCCCGGCGGCTTCAATCCAAATTTGCGCGAACTGCTTAGACGAATGTTTATTTCTTTTACACCATACATGCAAAAGTCTACTGCCAATAGAAATATTCTTTTTGCCTATGATATCGTTTGCAACATCTTCTACAAGTATCGCATTTTTTAAAAATCCAAGTTTGTCCCATAAACCTTGCTCAACGTTTTCCATTTTCATATGTATTTCTAAAAGTTGTTTTGGTTCCTGTGCATTAAATAACCGATTATTAACCTTTAGCCAACTAAGATCAGCATAATATCGATAAAATGAATTACCTACGAAAGCGCAACTATTGTAATACTTCGATATGCTCTTCCAGGACGCAGAGCAATCTTCAGAAAAAAAAGCGATTAGCGAACAATGAGGCAGCGAGTGGTGTTATGATGAACACTACCAATACAAACCTGGAGCGCCGTTGCTCTCATTTGTATGCAGGCGGGACATCTAAGCAGTGTCCGTTGCATTTTCAAAAAAAATAACAAATACGACAACCGCAAGTCAGCAAAGTCAGTGTTATTACAAGGGGTAGGAAGAGAATTCGTTGTATAGATTTATACAACATTGTATTTTACGTTGATAAAGATTGCTATAAATCTTAAAGCAAGGCATGCACGACGTAGAGCTCATCTAAATTAATATTTAGCAACTCATCTCCTTCAGCTGGGGCCCGCTTCCCATCGAAATTCTAAAGCCAGCGCACTGGCAGTCACTACGCGAAACCCATTACACTTTTTAACAACTCAGCATTCGTCCTCGAGCAATGCCATCGTTTACATTTCACATTGAAAAATTTGATTGACGTGCTGCGGTGAGAGAGGTTGCGAAAAATAACTTTGTCAAACGAAAAGAATCAGCTGTTGGCAGGCAACGTTGCCATATTCTCCATAATTTATTTTTTCCCTTTTGTTTTTTTATAACGTCATATGACAACTTCAGCAAACTATTATTGTTTTATAAATTTAGATGGGACATGCATACTTACTCGATATCTAAAAAAGAAAAAGAAATTATGATCGTTTATTAAAAGTTATCCACAAAAACACAATTATTTTAAATTTAATGTATTTTGTTGCACTTTACTTTCAATTTGTATCATAGTTGTTTAACGATAAGCTTGTACTGCGATGATATAGAAGATGTAAAAGCTAAATGATTATTGAACGTCAAGAACGTGAAAAAGAATTTTAATGATTCGCGAATTGCAAAAACTTTACGCTGACGAACGTCATCTTAAGGAAAACTGAGCTATACCTAACGCTGACTTAGGTACTCCAGTTATTAAGGGTGTGCCCTAGTTGCCAAAAGTAAAAATGGTGTATATGCCAAGAAATGTGATAAATAGCTTAAAAATTTGTTAGCACGATAAATGACATTCAAGTGCTTTGCTTGAAATGTAATATATAATCTTTTTTATATAAATGTATCAAAAATATGCATTCATCTCCCCTTGTACGTCTCCTGAATAGTTTTATACAATTTTTATAGGCGTGGCATTCGATTTTACCCTATTTTCAAAAAAAAAAAGAATATTCTCTCTGTCGAAGCTGTCAAAAAAAAAAAAAAAAATGTTAGTAGTAGTATTTATAGTCGAATCTGTGCAGTGAGTATTCTATTATTCTTGATGGATTTTTCCGGAAATTATTTTTAGTTCTGAAGCCATTTCCTTCAAAAACTTGCAAGAATACTACAAATTTTGCAATAAGTTTTCAATAAAATTCGCTAACTTTTCCTAATTTATTTTTAGCAACGAAAATTGTACAGCTATGCTTCGCTTCGCGTAGTAATCGTAATAAGTTAGTGAAAACGACTAACGGTTACTTTGCTTTTTGACATCAGGTTTTGGCTTTAACATGCCACCTTTTTAAAAAGCCGATAACGCATTCTTCAATTTTAAAAAAGAGCTGCTACAACTGCATCTAGTGAGTTTTGGAAAAAAATGTGTACGTGAATTTTATATTTTAAATACCTAGCTCTGTCTCTATATTTTGCTCAATTTTTTTCATCTTCATATAAATTTCCAAAATTTGTTTTTGCTGCTTATAAGTTAAATAGATGGTTATTAAAGCTTGACCGGCTAAGATCATACCCATCGTCGGGAGAATGGGTTTAGCGAATTTTCGTAGCAACTGCAGCACTTCTAAAGGCTGTTCTGTGATGGCCGGCAATCGATAGGTGAAATGACGTGTAGCGAACATGCAGGCAGCAAATGGGGCCAGAATGCCAGGATAAATACCACCGAAACTAACCTGAAATGCCGCTGCTCTCAACTGTATGCAAGTGGGGCATTCAGACATTCCACGCAGAATAAGAGAATTTTGAACGAACAATTTATGGCAACCGATAGAAAGTAAAGCCGGTATTATCACAATGGGCAGGTAAGTAGAGAATTGACCATAGGTGCCCAACCGTAGTTTTGTACGGTAATGATTATTTATAAAAACACTTGTAAAGACTGCCAACGACCCTAAGACGGGTGGTGAATAACGTAAACTCCACCTGAAACACAAATAATTAAGTTAGAAAACAAAACAGGCATGTAGCACAAACACTTCTCCGGGTTTGTCCCAGTTGGAGATCATCTTCCATTGGTAAGCTAAAGCCTGTCCTTCGGTAATAATTACGGCATCTTTTGGTAATTCAGCAGTACGTCCTCTGGACAATGCCATCCTTATTCGTATTATTAAATTCGGTCTATATTTTCTAACACAATACTTTAATCATTATACAAATTGCGATAAGTAATCAAGCGTTATGAAATGATAGTGCAAATCAGCTGTTAAATACTAATGCTGCCAGATTTTTTCGTTTTTTTTTTATTAGTACGATGTTGAAAGGAATTGAGCAACTTTCCATATTTGAAAAATTAAAAATTTCGTTACATTATCCATTCATAAATAAGAAGATTTTCTGTGCAGTAAGGAAACAGGCACTTTAAAGTTTATTCATTTTTATTTTCTTGTACGTTCTTCGTGTGCGGAGACTATAGTAAAATAAATCATTATATTTAAAAAAATATTTTCGCTTTAAACTATGATAAAATTGTTGCTTTGTATAAAATAATACATATCGCGTGTAAAGAATGCTTCATTCATTAAATATTTATATAGTATAAAATCGCTTAATTCTAAAGATTGTAGTAATCGACAAAATCCACTGTACGGCGATAGCAAATCGGATTTAACCTAACCGGTTTCCATTTCTTCTACAAAATGTAACAGAAGTACCGGAAAAAGAAGAACAAGAGGAACACACAGTAATGATAAACGAAAACAGAAAATAGGAAATATACAAATGATCGTTATTAGAAGGCAGAGCATTGGAATGTTTAAAATGTCTTTCAGGCAGAAGGAACGATAGCGCTTAAAAAAAGTCGTGCTGTCCACACGTCAACTTATAAACTGTGTAGGTTGAATTTGATAAAGCGCACAGATGCACATGGGGCAAACACATGTTATAGCAATAAGCAGCAATAGTGACAAATGCAAATATCTCAGGTTATATGCAGGATGCACAATTATGCAAACAAAACACCAGAATGTTAATTGATAAAAATAATAAAAATACTAAGAATAACTAAACTGTTGAACTGGGCAGCAATGATGTTGGCGGAATAATATTGGGTATAGCGACAATACAAGCTCCGGCGCGACTACAAGTTAACGGCGAGACCTGATTCCACTCATTCGCCTCTGGATCATATTCTTCCACAGTCTTTAAATAATGATTGCCATCATATCCCCCCACAGCCATTAAACGATTACCTAGTAAAGCACAACCAATTGCATCACGACCAATGCTCAATGAACAAATCTATAAAGAGAATGTTTCAACTTTCTGTTTCTCACTTTAATTTAATTAAACAAATGAACTAACCAAGGTCCACGTATCAGTGCCGGGATCGTAACGTTCAACTGTATCGGTACGGCACACTGAAGGATTGCTAGCGGGGCAATCATGACCACCCAAAGCATAAAGGAATCCATGAGCCACAGCTACCTAAAAGAACCATAAGTTTCGAGAAGTTCGTTCCCTTGCTTAAAAACATCTAAAGTTATTTATTTTTTGTACGTACACCCACGCCGCCACGTCTTTTGTTCATCGCGGTTCGCGTAGTCCATTTGTTTGTGTGAGGGTCGTAACATTCTATGGAACGATGGCAAACAGAACCGTCACGTCCACCCACTACGTAAAGACGTCCTCCCAGAACAGCTACGCCAGCCGTCGATCTCATAGAAGACATGGGCGCAACATAGCTCCAAGTGCGAGCCGTTGGATCCCATCTGAAGCATTATATGTCAAAGATTTTATCTACATCTACATATATACTCCTTACCTTTCCACCGTATTGAGATAGCTCCATCCATCATGACCACCAACAGCATATAAAGGTCCTTCGAGCACAGCCACGCCTAAACCGTGACGATGTGTGCCCATAGGATTTAGAAGCGTCCAGCCCATGGTGTTCAAGTCTAAACTCTCCACAGTATTAAGGGTCTTTAAACCATCGCGCCCGCCCACTATAATTAGTTTATCATCCATTACAGCTACACCAAATTGCAAACGTCTGGCTGACATATTGTTCCAAACGGTCCATTTATCTAAACGCGGACAATAACTTTCAATACTAATGGCCCCCTATGAAACAAAGTTAAGGATCAAACTATGTTAAATCGAATCGAATCGCTTCAGTAGTTCATTAGTTCTGTAACCTTATGAGCATCCATTCCTCCCACAGCCAGCAAGCGCCCAACAGTAGATTTACGAGGCTTAGTACGTTCAGAGGCAATTAAGCAACGCCTTTCTGGCAGCAAGTGCCATTTTAAAGCCTCCATAACCAATTGCTGGCACTCATTGGAGGCGCACACGCTCTCCACATGATCCATAATGAATGAGGGCTGCAAGAGTGGCAACCTGACTAGAGCCAATAGTTCGGGAATGTGTTTGTCACGATTGCTTGGATCATTTTGTATCCATGACATTAAACAATGGAAGACATCCTGTTCTGATGGTACATTGAGATCATCACTAGCCAGCAACTTGCTCAATTGCTCTGCATTTAACTGAAAGAACTCTTGATTCTTGCATACCTGCTCGCAAAGATAAACATTCACGCCTTTTGTTTAATATATACATAGGATAAAAAGAATAAAGAAATATTACTGACCTGCATAAAATGCTGACATGTATAAGCCTTGGCCAATCGCAACAAGGTATGACAGCTTTGCTGTTCCGCAAAGAAAGCGAAGCCTAAACAATTCGAAGGATGTAATTGTCTTGCCAAAAAGTTACAACACGCTGTGACGACAGCATTCAACTGCAACAGGCACGCTGTCGCTAATAATGTTTCCACAGTATCTTCACGTAATTCAATAAAACCGGTATAACAGTATTGTACTAAAATCTGTAAAGCATCACCGTGCACTTCTCCCAAAGTCACTTCTTCCTCCTTGGTCTCACGCAACGAACCCGTAAACATTGCTGAGAAGTACGCGCTTGATGCAGATAAAACTAGACGATGGGCAGGCACTCTACAATAAAAAGTAGAAAAATGAATACGAAATTGAAAATGCTTCGAATCTAATTAATTGTATACTCAAGACAGACGCAAGGAAAGGTTAAAGTTCTTTCCTTTTTTTTCTTTCTTTTTTTAAAAAAAAAAAAAACAATAAAGTGCTTTTTTACCGCTTATAATTTCAAGTGTAATTGGTATCCCTCGTTTCTTTTTGAAGTTGAAATCTAACGGATGACGTAGACCAAAAAACAATACTCGCAAATAGCGAGTATAAATGTTGATTAATATCAATAAACAATCGCCATACGATGCCGAACAATAGGAAAAGTGAATGAACGACGACTGTTGTAAACTAATTGATCATTCCTAACACGACGAACGGATCTTTGCATTTGTAAATTTATGTGTAAATGAATGTAAAAATCATTAGTAGTAAAAAAAAAAAAAAGAAGGAAAACAATATGACAAGAATGGCAAAAAAAAAAAAAAAAAAAACAAAAAGACAACGCGCACACAAAAAACAGACATTCAACTCAATTTCCCGCATTTGTTTCTCACATAACCAGCAGCAATTTACAAACAAAGAAAATGATACATGCCATGGCATATTAACTATAACATGTATCACCGTGCGATGTGACAAACGGGCGAAGGAAGGAGGATATAACATGCACACAAAGAGATATTGTCGGAGTAGAGTAATAATAACAATTATGTGGGAAGAAAATGAATTGATATGTTTTCTTTGTTATAATCATTTGCAAGACAATGATATGGATGCGATGGACTATGATGGAATATGGCCATGACCTCTCGGATGAAAGATAATAGGCAGTTTAAAAAATGACTTACCTTCGGCCATCTATGCCCGCTATAAGGACCACATCACACAGCTGTTGATTTTCCAAATATAATTGCATGCGTTTGAGTACACTCTCCGCATGATCGCGACAACGGAAAAATTCATCCTGACTGACAGCTGAGGCCAGGCTGCCTAAACTGTAATCGCGTGTGAGAGATTCTTCTGCTAACAGCGAAATACGTGCTGACGATGACGTTGTTGAATCGCGACTTGGACTCTCTTTGTTTGCAGCCATACTGTGATAATATTTGTTATTAATGTTTAGGTGCACCAGCACCCTTAATGCGAACGCAATGCAATTACTTCTTTAAAATGCAAATATTCTGTATTCTGTATCGCTTGGGGAACGTGCCGTATAAACGGATGACCGGATATTAAATAATTACACCTTTACTGATGATTTGTATTTTATTGGGCGAAAATTCTCACTGTTTGCAATAACAGTGCAACTTATAAATTAATTTTCTAAAACTTGAATTTGCTTAACTGCTACTTTTTCGTCCGTTGCTGTAAGCACCACTAAAAGAACTGAACCAAGTACAACCAGTACTCTTCGTAGTAAACTCTGCAGCTGCACCTGGCTTTCATCTACTTCTGTTGCAATAAAGAGGGCAGCAGCACCGCAACAACACGACAGCTAACACAAAGGAAACAACCAGTAGCAGAAACGATGAACAATAAATAGTGAGTGTTGCGCTGGTCTTGTAGAGCTAATAGGTAATTGGTGGGGAGGGGAGGGGAGGGAGAAACTAAAGTTTACAACGCACACTTGCACTTGAATGAAAACAACCAAGGAATTAATGGACTGCCTTTGCTTTGTTAATAGATCGATTCTTCTTGGCTGCAGAACCTCTTGCTATTCTCAAAATATAATTGCTTTGTTATGAGATTCATTTATAACTTAATACTTTTTTCTCTGCAATCACTTTTTCCAAAATTCTGATATATTGTGCAATTTTCGACTTCTTTGTAAACAAACTGTTTTACGATATTTAACTCACTAACGTAAACAAGAATGGCCAACAATCCACTGCTAGTCGTTACGGCGTTGCCACTGAAACGAAAAGCTAAACTAAATTTTTCTTTTAAATTTTAAAAAACATTTATCGAGAGTCAGTTTTAATTGGTTGAAATTTTGTTTACATTGTCGAAGGATCGTTTTGATCAGCTTAAGTCTTGTTCAAATTAATTCTTAGCCCGAATAAAGGAAACAAAACGTTCTGGTTGCTATTATCAGTAACTCGATTTTTAATACAAAAAAATTTAACAAGTTTAATCAATGCGGACATATATAAATAACCTTCGATAGTTTCCTTTCTTTAAGATAATTGCTGCGCCGAATTTATTCTTTAGAAATGAAATCGCAAAGATCTTCCTTTATTCGGAGCCTTTATGCTGGCAGTTCGCATAATTCTTTTATGTATTGATTGATTGCTCCTGATCGGGCAATTCACGAAAAAATAGTGCGAATGAATTTATTGCCGGAAATTTTTTCAGAAGATTACACCTAGTCAATGTTGTTATAATACACATACATGTCGACTTATTTCCTTGAGCAAGATGCATAATTTTTTCTTACTTCGATGAAAATGTTCAATTTGATAATCAAAAGTTGTTGAACTAAAAACAGAAAAAAAGAGTTATGAAGTGAACGTTTTTAAAAATATCATATAAAAATACCATTTTGATCCTTTGAAGTGCAGGCACAAATGCTTGCGAATTATTAAGAATTTCAATTCACTTCATTACGCCAACATATATACACACATGCATACACACGCACACATACCACATATATGCATTCATTGATAAGTAGTTATAAAATTGCATTTATCATTCCACCTAGTAGTAGTAGTAGTAGTACACATAATTTATTAAGATTTCAGCATGTATCTTTTCAAGTGAGATTGATTATACATTAAATTACGAATGCTAAATATTTTATTGATTGGGCGATGTGTTCCGTTTTGGTGTTGATGGGGGCAAGTCCATTGTTTTACATACCCAGCCAGCAATGTCAACTTCTTCCTCTTCAGCCTTACATATCCAAGGGTGATTCTAAAAAACGTAAAAAAAAAAGGAAAGAAAAAAAGGAATACATATATGAAATTTTAAACATTCCCTCTCTTTTAAAACTATATTGAGGAATACTCACCAATAGTGTTTTTAAGTCGGCTCGTTCTTCGGGATTTTTCTTCAGACATATATCTACGAAATCCTTAAACTTATCGGTAAATACCTTATGCTCTAGTTTAGGTGGAGGTTCATTCACAATATAGTCGAGTAGTTCAAAAATGGCCATTACTTTAGGTTCAAGCACAGTTTGTGTGCCGTCCTCATTTCTTTCATCAAATATGGCTTCAATTGTTTTGGCATCTGGCGGCGGTATAGGGTACATTCCGATAGCCATTTCCACGAGTGACAAACCCAAAGACCAAATGTCTGATTGCACAGAGTAGTGTGTACCTTGCAAACGCTCAGGCTATTAAAACGTTAAGGAAATAATGAATTATAACACATAATAATCAGTTTTTTCAATGGTCATGGAAACATACCGACATATAACTTCTTGTACCGACAAAAGAATTCGCCATTGAATCTATGAGTTGTCCAGATACACCGAAATCACAAATTTTTATTTCGCCACTACTATTAACCAGAATATTGCTGGGCTTGACGTCTCGATGCATAATTGCATGTTTATCCCTTAAATAGCTTAGGCCTTTAAGCACAGCTAACGTTATTTTACCTAAAATTGATTCTGGAATTCTGCCCGCTCGTTTCAAAATCAAATCCAATGAGCCGCCATCCATATATTCCATACAAATACTGATTTCACCATCACTATAAAATGCTCCATAAAATCCTACTATGTGTGGAAAATTGCATTCGTGCAATACTTTTAGTTCACGTATGATTTGTTTTTTAATCGCAGGTTTCACTTCCAAGTGTATCAACTTTCTTGCCATAATCAATTGTGTGGGTATGTGACGCACCTTCATAACAACGCCACCATTACCGGAGCCCAGTTCACCCAATTTCTCAAGATCGTCGTCTGATAGCTCACCAATTTTCTCCTTTTGACTGAGGAATACTTTAATACGTTTACGAGCCGTGTCATCCATTTCCAATTCCTCCAGGGTTTCGGTAAGGGCTTCGATGCTCGTCTTCGGCTTACCCAGCAAACTATGTTTTCTTTAAGTTAACTTTTTAATGAATTTTTGTGCAACAAAACAAAAAGCAAGCAAAAATATTAAGGGAATGAAGAAGATAGCAAAAGGCGAACGAAAGCAGGAAACGAGTCAATTTTCAGGAAGAAGATTCAACTGATTGCACTTTAATAAAAGAACGAACGCGGGTTGATGGATGACTTAACGAACTTAATGCCTTTGCAGATTAGTAAACGTATTTCTTCGATTATTTATACATCAACTGAAAGGAGCTTTAAACGGACGGATTAAAAATGTTAAACGATACACAAATATCTGTCAGATACATAGAAACATGCGCCTACAATTATAATGTGACCTGATTTGTTATAATCTGCACCAACTATTATGAATCATTTTATTAAAAAAATTTTTCTTATTTTTTAAATTATTTCGCCTTGATTGTATTCTTAAGTGCGGGCAGAAGTGTTTGTTTGTTGTTCCAGTGTTTATAAATATAAAAGATATAATAATAAATAGTTAGCTATAGTATTAGTGTAAATAATGTACAGCAATAATTAGTGATGGAAAGTGATATAGTAAAAGCCTTAAAGCCAATATTTACTCTGTGCCTGAAGGTGTTTTAAAAGGTGGTGTAGGTACCACTTGGGATGATGCTGCAGAGGTATCTACCGGTGGCAATGTTAAGTTCAGTTTATTCTTCGACATTTTTTAATTCTTATACTCCTCCTTCTCTTTTTTTTTTTTTAGTATTAATAATATTACAAACTTGTTCGCTGACTTTGCTTTATACAAATTTTTTCATTAATTGCTTTATATCCTTTTAAACAATTCTGTTTTTTCCTTTTTTTAATGACTACACCCAAAGTTTATTTTTTCTTCGTGGCCTTTTTGTAACATTTTCCGGTAGAAGTAGAAGCAGCATTTTTGCAGTTCGCAATAATTTTTAACCATCAGCTGTTTCAAAAGAAATGCGAACGACGTAGCAAACTGACGAACTGGTCAGCTCCGCTAACATTATATTGATTATATGAAATTTTATATTGCTTGATTATTTGTACGAGATAGAACCAAAAAAAAAGCGTTTTTATAGTAAAAAGTATTTCTTGCATTTCTGTAAATACATTATAGCACAAACATTTCTGTAATTTGGCAGCACTTTGAATAATAAACGCATATAACTTTATTCGGATGAAATTGGGTAATTTTAAAACACGACATAAAGAGGGCGCTTTTGAGAACAAGAAAAAAAAGAACACAATTTATCAAAAACCTATCACAAAAAAACCTTAGGCTGATCAAAGTTAATTTCACTATAGAATACAAAAATTCTTTCTTTCCTTTCATCTTACCGAATCGAAGTCATTTCTCTCGTTTATCACCTTCTCATCTGTTACGAATTCGAAAACAATGTATTTTCTCATATCCAATGCCAATACATAAGTAAGCTCCGCCTTTTTGGAAAATAAATATTCCCTCATCGAATCGTGTGGTTGTTCCTCTCTAGCAAAAGTAAATATAACAGTTTATATTTCTGTTTTGTTTCTTTTCTTAGCAAAAGGAATGGGATTGCTGGGCATATTATAAACGTACGTTAATGCGAAGAGCAATGCATTCATTTCTTTCTGGCAAATGCAAGTATAACAGTTTGGATTTCAATTTGAAAAGGTGCGCTTGTTGTACGCTTCATTCGAACCTTACGCACACGCACACAAACATACATACACACATACGCGTAACGAAGTTTATCAACATTCGTGGATATATATATATATATATATATATATATATACTATACTTATTAGTATTTGCGTGCCTACATTTATATAATACAAACAAATGCACCGACTAGGATTAATGATGAGTCAATTAACTCCACATTCTTGGAAGCCATATTGGGCTTTAATTAAACATAAAGAAACAAAAAAACATTGTGTGTTAGATTCATTTGAAATAATTGTCTCGAAAAACGCCCAAAATACATTTTCGTTAATTAAGACGAAAACGACGAGAAAATAAATAAAAGCTTTAAATTTTTAACTAGAATTACTGCAATAACCTTGAGCTTCAACGAATCAACAATATTTCGATCAATACTTGAACGATTGATGGATGATATTATGTAATGTCTATTATTGCAATGATAACAATTTGATAACATTTTTATTTTCCCTTAGACAAAGGTGTGACTTGCTGCTGCTTCTCGATTACATACATTTTTTCTTTCTTCTTCTTTACGAAACAATTCGTAGATGTCTCATAGATTTGCATCAAAAAATATATACATATATCTTCTCGATCAATAGGCAATTCTCATTTTGTCCAATTGACCCAGTGAAATTGTGGTCGAAAAGTCGAAAAGTGAAAATGGCTAACCGAATTTCAGAATGTATGAATTTTTGATCCGAAACGATGCAACAACACTTTGGCAAAATTTTTTAAATCAACTTTGAAAGAGAAATCAAAAAATTCTCTTTCTATGTTAAATAATCCCAAAATCAATCTGTTCATCCTAAAGATATTCATCATCATCATCAGCAGTAGCAGCAGCAAGTCAACATATGTCTCCTATGCATTTGCATTGAGTATTCATAAAATTCATCAAATCCAAAGATCCGGAAATCGCATCGAGATAGTATTCCACTCTCCATTCAGCTGACATATTTCCCGTTCTGCAGTGAGCGATAGATAAACCAGTGATTGCAATAATTTGTTATAAGAGACAAGCACGACTGCAAGCTTTGTACTTTTGGCAAAGAAGAGCAGAAGCCTAGCAGAAGCATAAAAAGTTGCGTGGAAGCGTTAAGAATCTCTCCGAAGCTGATGCGAACATGTTCATTAAAGCGTTACGAACATGCATATATATGACAGATATATGCATGCATGCATGCATGCATGCATGCATGTATATGTTCGGGATGGATTGTATATACTCGCTATATCATTTCACTTCGCCCCCGTTCTCGCATGACTTTATAGATTCGAATTTCGATCTTGTGTAGTTTTTTACCGAAGCATGCCTTCCGTCCTTTCATGTCCGCCAATGTGATCGATAGCGGGTTGCAGGGTGCAATTTCTTCTTACTTTCAGATAAAGGATACGATGAGCATATTTCGCAAACATGCTCGAATCGGGCAGACAAAAACAGTTTTGGCACAGATCGCATGGCCTCTCTTTTTCAGATTTGCGATGAGGATGTAAGTTCAACTTCGTTTTAAGTCGCTTTCGCATTGTTGCTGATATTCCGTTAACACATCCTGTCGGATGTCTGTTTTAATTTTGAGTATGCCGACGCCTTCTGCCCTAGGTAGCATGTAGGTTTGTATGCATGTACACGAAAAGCCAAAGAACAGATTGACATTTCCGATGAGCGTAGCAACAACTGCTGTCCCTTGGGGCATTTGTTATTAAACTTTATCTGATCTCAAGTCAATCGTTCGTATATATCTTCGCTATTGAATTTCAAAGGTTGAAATCTAACATGGATGTAATCCGTCAAACATGTCACAATTTGAACTTAAAGACCTTACGAGCAGAAGCGTAAGAGAAACTCTCGTTTTAGTTAACCGTAACGTGTTTAAAATTATTTCTCGATTGTGGATAAAAAAGAAAAAAAAATTCTACGAATGCAGGGAATGCAGTTTATCCTGTAAAGGTTTTCAAATTATCCCAAGCGCAATATATTTAATCGTAACGCAGCTTAACGGAAGCACGTTGTGCTCGAATGTTTGACGAGACATCCGAAGAAAGACTCGATAAAAGTCGTTTGGTTAATGCCTCTTTCGATGACTTAGCGCAACGCAGGACATTGCCTGTGCCTGTGCCTGCCTCACGAAGTGATCGTTAATTTGTGCCCAGCATTTGTTGTATCCGCTATACGCCTATGAAATTCCATTCCGCGTAATATTTGTAGATCGTATCCATGCCGTTTGAGGAGAGAAATGTCTTTTCTTTTTATTTGTTTCGTTTTCCTAAAATTGTAGTGATGCGGTTCTACTTTATTGTTGTTGGTGTTGATTTTATTTAATTTTTATGTGTTCATTATAATTTATCAAAATATATACATCTTCACAAACCTATCGTCTATCGCCTCCTATCGACTTGGCTCGGCGATGGCTTTGCGATGGAAAGTTTTTTTTGTTTTTCTTTTCATTTCATTTTCGATTCGATTTTCGATAATAATTTATTTATTCAATTTCTTCATATTTATTTATTTACTTAATTTTGTGTAATCATTTTAATATATATATATATTTTTTTTCTTCAATTTAATTTATTTAATTTTATTTAATTACAAATACATTTACTCATATCCATATAACACTGTTATGTAAATTCATAGGTAACAACTAACTCACCGCTAAATAGGCTTTGAGTTGATGTTCATACGCGATAGTATGCTTAAAAATAAAATAAAAAAACAAACAAACAAACAAACAAACAACCAACCAAACAAACGACATATGGATCACATTTAAGTGACGCAGTATGAATATAAGCTAAAGTTATATGAATTATTTTTAATCTCGATATGTATACTTCAGCTGTATATCTCATTGCCCGCCAAGTCCCCAAGTTGCTCTGCATCCGAAAGAGAAAGTACTTTTAAGAAGCGCTTAAAAACCCGGCACAATCATAGTCGCTTCCACTTACAACTAATTAATTAAGTGCAAAAACGGAAATCGAGCCTTAAGACAAAAAAGTATTGAGCCTTGCATTGTGACAAAGCACGGATCCGCCTCACGATGTGCTGCTGTTTAGCCGGATGGCATCCCGATGGCACACGAACTTGAACGATGACGGCATCCACTGTCCCCAAGCGCCAAATGAAGGCACACGTGTTCCCGCCTAAAGCGAAGGCTAAGCTTACGTAACACGTCTCGCTCGTTCTCATTCCGTTCAGCATCTTGTTGTTATGGCACTTGAGAGCGATTATAAAAGATCATCACGAAGGATCAGGTCAGAGCGGACAATTGCTCCATGGACTTCTAAAGGCTATTGTTAACGAGGAGCAAACGAGCCCAAGGCGGTTTAGCGATTGAAGCTCTGTGTAAACTAATCACACGTTACCTTGACGACAGATTGTACAGCTGACGAATCGAGCGCAAGATTTGCGAAGAACTTCACTCTCTCTCTCTCTCAGACGTGACAAGGCCTCCGGAATTGTATCGAAGTTCCCGCTCTTTCGTCATATACCGATGGTCATCAAATTTCTGCGAACGAAGTGCGAAGAGCATTGAATCAAAACATATTTGTTGTCCTTTAACGGATTGTCCTAATTGTAAGACTTGCAGTCTGTTAGATCTCTCTTGTATGCGAAAAAGCGTCCAGCGCTGCGCTTCAAGCTGTTGAACTCATCTTGGTCTCGGCCATTTTTTACATAATTGCCAGGGCGTTCATTATAACATATCTTAGCTATAACTGACTACGTGATGAATTAACGAGATCTCCTAAAGGCCTTGTACCCATCGAAACTTTTCCTTTTTTTCATTATACCCTACACTATGTGTGCGTGGCGCAAGGATATGTTAAGTTGATGCGGACGTATGTAACAACCATACATATATCGGATAGATCTGTCTTTTATTATATTGAGCGATCTAAGTTTGGCTGTCCGTCTGTCCCACTGTTTGTCTTATTATCTGTCCATGTATTTGTGTGTTCAATACACGTATCGTAAATTTTCGAGATATTTTGATTTTTAAAATTTATTACATCTACGTATTTTGGCCTGAGGATATATGCTATTGAAATGGTTTCGGATCGGATCACTTTTTCAACCACCTTCCATATAGTGTTTTGTTTTGAAAAGTCATTATACGAGTAACTGCAAGTTCCTGCCAAGGGTACATATAATATATAGGGCGGGCCATGGGCCACTTGTCACGGGCCACTATAAATTGCAAAAATTTAAAGAGAAAAACTTTTTTTTTTTTTCTCATAATTATTTTTATTTAACGCAGCTTGTAAGAGTAGGAGATAAAAGGAAAACGAAAAGT